GACAAGTACCCAGGGTGGCAATTGGCTAGAAGTGTACTACACACTCAAAGAGCCGAAGTCATGATATTGTATCGTACAACTCTTGATCAACTCCTCGTATGGCTCAAAGATTCGTACATAGGTGATCATGCACCAAGCATAGATGTGCTTGCTGGTGGGAGTCATTTACGAAAACGTCCAGTTTTGCTTTGGAGTGTACAGTTTTGGCTTGAATCGTTTAGATTGGCATTGAAGTGTTCCAAACGGCCCAAAAGGATAGAAATGCCAAACGTACAGAAATTATTGCACTTTCAAGGGTTCAGGTTGTTTGGTTTCGTCTCTGCAACTAAAACAACAGGAAAAGCAAATACAAAAAGAGAAAGGAGAACAGCTGCCAAAAGAAAGAAAGAAAGATAGATAGATAAATAGATAGGTATAGACAGATAGATGGATAGGCCAAAAAGACAAAAGCCACAAAAGCCAAAAGCCACAGAAGCCACGAAAGCCACGAAAGCCAAAAGCCACAAAAGCCAGAAGCCACAGAAGCCAAAAGCCACAAAAGCCAGAAGCCACAGAAGCCAGAAGCCAGAAGCCACGAAAAAAAAAAAAAGAAACAAAAAAAAATCCAAAAATAAATACCCCTCCCTATATAATTAAGGCTCACAGCCAACTCGGGAAGAGCTGGTTCCCAAGCTCACAGCATCTTGTTGGCAGGCAGCAATCTGGAGGAATGGCATCCCAATGGCGATCACTGCCCTTAATTGGAAGAAAAGACCATTGACCATTGATGCCTCATCATGGCTCCTGAGAAGCCTCTTTCCTCGCTCAAAACATCTAAAAACCCAGCTCTTCCCGCGACAGCCCGGGCTGTACGGAGCTCCCGCGGCGGAGCATAGCTCGCGGGCCTTTGGTGTACTTGCCGATCACCGAGGGACCATAGCGATCCGGCCTGGCGGGAACGGAGGGATGAAATCCAAGCTGCCCAGACCGTCCATGTATGGAATACATGGACGGTCATTAGACTAGGCTTAGTGATGGTTAGTGTATACTATTCGGATTACGTAGATCCCGTCCAACACCTCAAAAGTCCCTTCAGCCCAGCCTGGAACCAAAAGTGAAGCTGGCAGCTTCACAGCTGGCAGCCCCATCGTTTGGATCTCGGGAGGATCATCGATGTTCGGATCGTGGGTGTTGGCAGCGCGTACGCCTGGCATCGCTTGGACGCGCCTGGCATCAAACTCTTCCATCTCGGTCTGCTTGAAGTAAAACTGCGGGTAGTAGATCCTCAGAACGCAGAAAAAACCACCAGACTTTGATCATGACTGGTGCTGGAATATGGGAATATGGGTGGCTGGATCCTGATGGGGCCTACAGGGGTGGTTCATTCCCTCATTCCCTACTAGGCACGAGTCAGCTTTTATCATCTTTTGTCTATAAAATGTAGAGCCCCAAGGACAAAAAATAAAGCCTCATGGATCCTCACAAATCAAGTCCCTTAACTCAAAAAAGCAACGGGCACATTCCAATGCTCTTTAACAAAAACAGATGTGCATACCCTTTTTCTTCAGGCATTCTCCTATCTTCCCCATGGCACTCATATAACATTACGAGCCAGTGGTTCGTAGCCCTGGCTCAGCAACCGCACTTCTTCTTGCACTCATATAACACACATTGCAATGGATGGGAAATCGTCGAAAGATCCATGTTCCCTCCGCTTAGACCATGCGCCTCCATGTTCCCCGGGAAGGAAGGATCTCAGCGGTATAGCAGTGAAGCTGGTGAAGCCAAGTTCCAGTGGGGGACCATCTGAAACCTCGTTTATCCCAGACACGACCCATGGGACTGCCATAGGACTGCCGATCAGTTGGGGTGGTTTTGGGGGTCAATGTGGCGGCATATATGGCAGTCCCATGGAGTGTCTGGGTATTATATGTGCCTTTTCCGTTCCGTATACAGGTCCAAAGACCCGAATAAAACCTGGTGCTTTACCTTGTTGCACTGAGTACTGCTTTAAATCAACAACTCTAGATTAAGATGAGGTCTTCGAATGTCGTTGACCTGTTCTCTAGAGTGAACTCAATAACCTGGAGAAAAACTCTGGGGCCATCCCAAGGCCCACCAGTTGTGGACCCGCTCAGGTTCTTCGCCTGCAATCCTTGATGTTCATCCCCAACCTGCCAACCGCAGGCTGCCTTCAGCGCAGCATGAACGAAAAGCACACGGCGCAGCCGCGAGGTCTGTGACTCCCTGCTCGATAGTGTGGAGACCCACGTTCCGCATCCGGTTCCGACCTCGCAGTTTCGCCGCATCGGGTTTCCAGCTTCGACGGCACGAAGAATGGTCCTGAAAACTCTCTCAGGTTGCTCGGGGTGCCCGTGGTGTCAGTGGATCGTGCTGGATCCCAGTTCTGGTGTCATAGTCAGTCGGTGAATGCCTCTGCTGTGGCCTGGACATAGCTGGTATAGACATGGTGCCCTTCTAAACGTCCGGACAGTGCTTCGTTCACTCCCCGCATAGGAAAAACAGAAAGACCGCCAATATCAGCCAATTAATTATAGGCTGTTTTGCACCTCGTACCTGAATCCACGGCATGAAATTCACATCGTAGTGCTCTCGACCGGGGCAACGATCACGAGGACAGCACAGGACGATCGCGAGTCGACTCGAGTCAGCGGAAACCCAGGGTTTCGGCCGGAGGTGCTTGCAAGAAACGCCCGCGGTGGAAGGTCGAGGTACTCAGTCAAAATCTGTTCGTGTCGCGAGTTGCAGGGTCGACCCGAAGCGGAGTTGCTGGGGTCTTGTGGCCTGAACACCGTCAGTCGCCCAGACTTCCCGCTGATTCAAAGCCATTCACCACACGACCAGGAAAAGCACGCCGAGCCGGACGCCGAAATCGGGTCGATGGGTCGGTCGGCCGGCCCGGAACTGGGGTGCCAGCAGGACTTGACGCTGGCTTTCAAAACTATCGATAATTAATGATAGGTCGACAAGTCAGAAACCAGGTTTTGTTCAAAAAACCTCTCTTTTGCACCAGAGCTGGTGCAGAGGGCACGTACTAATTAATCTATACCATCCGACCATCCGGTCCCTGAAACCATCATGGAAGTGGCAAACCGGTTTGGGTATTCGGAAAACTGAACACTCCAAGAGACCATGTTCCACGTCACCATGTTCGTTGGAGGGTATACTCGTACATCACAAACCTGAAACATCAAACCTCACCTGACTGCCTGACTGGGTGGGCCAAACCACCCATCTGTGGGCGGATTTGTTGCAGGTAGTTCCCGGACTCGTCCACCAACTCCACCTGGATCAGGCTGAGTCTGCAGAGTGGCGGGCGTCCAGAGGGTGTGGCAGTGCGGCAGTGCTGGGTGTTTGGCGCCCACTTAAATCGGTGAAGAGCAGGGGCTTCACTTACCAAATAGCAACTCAGGGTATTCCAGCCCTACAGGCTGCAACCGGAAGATCAGGAAGTGATCATCCAAACTCATGTTGTACCAGCTTTCGAAGATTACAAGCTCTACTTGAATCCCACTAGCTTTAGTTGAGTCCCATTCAACAAAAACCTACGGCCATTTGAGGTCGCCTTTGCCATCTTCATGGCACTTCCAGTGCTACAACTAATTCAGTTCCGTTCCAAAAAACAGTTGGGTCACATGGTCCTCATCATGAGGAAGTCTCCTCATGAGGCATGAGGACCTCCACCTCAGGGCTACCCATCGTAGCTGCTCCCTCGCGAACCGGAGCTCGCCTCATCATCGTAGCTGATTTCGCCCCCCTGGACACGTCTGGTGAAACAGGTCTGGCACGGCCCATGAGAAGGCCTTACTGGCTCTAACGGTTGCCTCGGGCGAACGGCCCGGCCTATCTCCTCACCCACCCCAACAACCATCGAAACGGAGCTAGGACTGGAGTAATATCACCGGGGAACACAACCTTCCCAACAAACATCCAGCAAGTAGAAACAAGAACAACATAACCATGGTTCTTCAAAGTGCTGCCTCCCACTGACCTCTCGATGACTGGACCCATAGTGTCGATGTCGCGATGTCTATTTCAGTTGGTGACCCATCGACGGATGCTCAGCATGTGGGTGTGAGACGACGTCGACGGACCCCCCCGGCGTCGGAACCCGGTTCGGCGGGGTTCGGGAAATCGACTGGTGACTGGTCAGGGTTCGGGCGAGATCTCGGGGGTCTCCAGATTCAATCCCTAGGGGCTCCAGTCGTACCTCCTCAGAAGGTATCTGGATCCTCTAAACCCACCCCAGCCCTAGGGAATTACACACTCAGTCACACTCAAAAACAACCATGCTTTCCTTCTGGTCCCAGACCACTACATATATGCCGCCCCAGACCCCTTTTTCCACCCCCGGACGGCAGACTGCCAGTCCCAGACAAGTCGTGTCTGGACTCTGTTTGTGTCCAATGCCCACTGACGCAGCATGTTGTTTCACTCTGTTCAACCACGGAGAGCATTGCTTCGCCGCGCTGCGCTGGCCGCTGGGGGGTTCCTGGTGAACTGGTGAATCAGCCGAGGTCCGTCTTGGATTTGCTTAAGGTATAGCTGCTGTTCTTTTGAGGAAACGATACGTATTGATTATGTAGATATATTTATCGATATATTTATGATTTGCAGTAATGAATCAATCTATCAATAACAGCTTAATGAAATTTATGATCCTCAACTGTTTGGACACTAAAGAACAAAACACCTAGGAACAAGTTCTTGAAAGAACACAACCTGACATCATGACTTTCATGTTGCTGAACAACATTCTGTCCTGCTTTCAAAAATTTCGGACTCACTGGCTTGGATGTTGCATTCACAGGACTTTGACATACTTTGACTGCTTCCGCCCCTCAAGTTTCCTCAACAAGAAGCAAAAGGCTAACCACACACATCACCAACATAAAGGTTGAAGATGGTTGAAGAATGGGCACTGCACCTGCATAGGGGTTTAAAAAACTGCTCATCTTTAAGTGCTGAACACGTGCACAATCGACTGACCATGTTCGTCCTCAGCCATGTTCGTCGCAAGGTTCCTCGCTGGAGTCGGGCTCCTGAGGACAAGTGGCTTGACAACCAGGTGCACGTGTCCAAACAAGGCCCAGACTCATTGTTTGTTAAGTTGGCCAATAATATAAAGATCCATATATAGTCTTTGAGCACCATCATGGGTACCCCACCAGAACCTAACGTCGTCATAAACCTCGCCTTCATCCTCACGTTGTTTCTCGTTCCTCACGTTCCTCACGTTCCAAATGCCCCCGGAGCACCCGAACTCCGCGTGAAACGAACTCGGTGCTCCTCTCGTGGTGCCTCGAAAACCACCTCCACGCCGCGCACCTTCCGCAGCTGCTCCAATGCCACCGCAGCGCTGGGTCGCGGCGCTGGGGCGCCGTCGCCGTCGCTGTCGTCGTTGCCGCGGTGGCGGCGGATCTCGGAGACGAGCCAAGGCAGGGGGTCCTGCGGGATGGCGGAGCGAAGGCGGAGCGGATTTCTCCCTTGAGTCGAGCTATTTTTTCTGGAAGGCCCCGTTGGTTGGACCAGCTATACCCAAAAAAAAGGGCGAGAGGCCTTTCGAGGGATCTGGTCCAGGTACAGAGTTCCAGGCTTTGGATGGAGCTGGATCACGGTTGATCCCGGATGCACTGGCACCTAACCTGAGGTACGGTGAGGTACTGGCACCCAGCCCTAGGGATCCAGTCGTACCTTCTCAGGTTAGGTGAGGACGGAGACACTGTTATGTAGGTTTGGAGGGTCCAAGTACCTTCTGAGAAGGTACTTGGATCCCTAGGGTAGAAATATATAGGCCTTGGAGGGCCCTGACGTACCTTCTGAGGAGGTGGCAGTGGATCCTTAGCGTATGATAAAATATTGTCTTCAAAACCACGGATCGATTCCCAACTTCATTGCATGGTGCGATTCGATTAACACAGATGTGTTGACTCTCCACATTTCACACATTCATTCACTTCAGTGGTCATCCGCAGAACGTCCCGTTGGGATCACTGGCGTCCCGATTCAAGAAACATGGGGACCTTCTGCCACCAGGAAACACAGTTCTTCTGGGCTGCGAGCACGAAAAGAAGCTTCCAAAAAGCTGAGTATTGCATTATACTATATTATACGTATCTGCGCTTTCGTCCAAAATTGAATGTCTTGGCAAAGAAAATCAATCAAACAAGTCTGGGACATCCCGCTGGCTGTCCAGAGCCATAGAGACTGGCCCTTCCCAATGACATTGGAAAATGAGTTTAGATTATTTTAGATGACTGGTAGTCGAACTACCTGCTGAGAAGGTATGTGGCATGGGTTGGGAGGGTCACATCTGAGAAGGTATTTTGCAGCCTCAGGGTAGATCATCAATTGGTACTCCAATACAGGATCAACTCACGCAAAACGGACCGTGAATGTATCTGCTCCATTACATGCCCGCAAGACAACAATGCGATCAAACCCCCACCGGCTAAAACGGACTCCTCGTCATCGATAGGATTCAGAAGACAAGTGACCTGCCACCACGTACCACGTACCACGTACCACACGAGAGACGGTGCACGCGAGACTCGTCTAGTGGAAGGAGAGAGGGCAATCGCCTGGCTGATGCAAAGCATTCAGTAGCCTGAGTCATTGGCTCCCATGTTCCAATCCATGGAATTGTACCTAAAGGCCTCACCTGTCAACTACCCCAATGGTGGCAAATCAAACATTGCATGGAATCTCTGGAAATCGGTTCAAGCCCTTTCTTTCCCTGGTCACACGAGAAGAAGAAGAAGAAGAAGAAGAAAAGACAACGGAACAATGATTTTTTAAGGTGAGAAGAAGAAACACAAAAAAGGAAAAGAAAAAAACCACAATAATAATATATAATATCAAACTATTATCTGAAACTGTTCCTTCTCTCGCCTGCCACCCAGTCTGTACCCCACACTTCGCGGCCAAGCCCTCCGTGACCAGATGTTTCACGGTGAATTGCAAGTGCAAAGGCGGGTTGGTGGACTTGCGACGGATCCAGACCTGGGACATCCGGCTTCGAGTCGAGCCCGGTCCGGGCGGTCCGGCTTGCTCGGGTTCCCGGGCTGCTAAGGGGTTGAACCTTGAGTGGTTTAGGATGGTTTAGGAAGAAATCCCCTTTAAATACCAAAAGGACCTTAGGGTCTATAGAATACGCCTTTTCGGACAGTCAAGAAGAGGTCATTCTGGTCAAAGGCAAGTCATTCCTGTCAAAGACATATATTTATAGTGGTCAAATGCGGTAAGTCCTAGGCAAACACAGTTTCAATTGACGCTTCACTGGCTGCACTTCATGTATGATTCATTTGGTCTCTACTTTACCATCTCTGTGGTACTCAAGTCCTCCACACTCACCCCACAGAGAAACCTCGATAAACCTCTGCACCGGCCCAAACACAGAGAAACAGTTACCTCAGACGGGGCCTCAAACCAGCTCCCTCTCTTGATTGAAGTCATGAAGTGATCCATCGATATCAATCCAACACATCTCGAATTTAAACCGCAACTGTTCAGAAGACCGGCCTTTACCATCTAGAATCCACAAACAAAGCAGGAACTCACCGTGCCTTGGGTCCCCCCACCTTCTTCCAAAAACCACCATTCTGGCCCAAATCAACCTCCACCGTCCGCGCCGGTTGCTCTCCAAACTCAAACCCGTGCGACGGCGTCCAGCTGCACATCCTCTCCGAGCGGAGGCCCATGGGGTGGATAGGCCACGCTCCGCTTCTCCTGCACCGACTGGTCCGGAGAAGCGGCCGTAAACGGACGAGCCACGGCGCCACTGCGGCTCGTCCGTAAGGTGGACTTGGAGCAGAAAGAGATGGAATGGAGTAGTTGGTACCAAACTTTTTGTGTTACACAGGTTGCTGTCGATCGTCTGAAACCATGCAATCTGTGACGAGGGAAAGCAGTTACATATGTTGCCACTTCTGCCCGAAGGTGGGACACGTCAATACTCGAGCCCAGCTTCGATTGGAAGTTCGATGGCCATAGCCAAGTGGGTTGCCAATATTGGTTACAATGACATGGCATCTGGTAACCAACGTAATCAATTGAAATGACACTGAAATTGATGCATACATCGAATCCCCCCTGGCTCCCAAACGATCCCAAACATATCCACAAGACAAGTAATCACGCCAATACCTGGGGCCTTCCGGCTGTGTTTATCTTTGACCCTCATGCGGCATCTCTCCAGCACATCTCTCCTCCCCACCTCGCTCACGTATGGTGCCAAATTCACAAACCGCAGCGCTGGCCGCACCAAAGCGCTCAAAGGGAGTTGCCACAGCACGGCCTCTGGCCACGAGCGCCGTCCAGGCGATTCAGGTGCGATGTCCGAAAGGGTGTCGGAGGGAACGAGGGCTTGGTGACAGGTATAGCATAATTACAAAGATTTACAGTAAGTGATATTTTTTAAAAAATCAGGTATAGTCTATAACCCCTATCTACCAAGTGCTACACCAAAAACACTTGCTTGAAGGGTATCCCCTCTAAGACCGAGTCCACCCTCCGCCGGGCCGGGGCGTTCTGGAACGTGGAAGCGGTTTGGAATACCACGGGGCATGCGGGGCGAAGGCGTCCTTCTTCATGCTACAGGGCTGGAACTCGGCGAGAAACAAGGGATGCTTTCGTTTTGTTTTTTCCCTGTTTCATGCCAGGCCGTACAGAATAAACCCAAGTAGCGCAAGGTAGGTGGACGGGTTTTCTTCATGGAAGTGTGGCACAAGCACACCTGATCCCACGGTGAACACGTCGGACTCACAGACTACCCCGGCAAATCCCGGCTAGGATGACCTATGCTATGTATGAATAAATTTTAGTGTTTCTATAGCCTGGTAATTGTGTTTTGGGATCTGGATCTCCTGCTACATGACCCAATGCCCATCTTTCGCACCTGGAGTTGTGCGTCATCCCCATGTTGGAGCCCATATATGGTGTCGCCCTCCCACTCCACCTGACCGTGTCGGAAGGTAGCTGTTCAAAGCTGCTCGGAAGGACATGAAGCCACCAATATCGTACCCTACCCTCCTTCTACCCCCTGAGCTTCTGCAACTCACAAAACCTGCAGAAAAAGACACACCAACGCCTGCATGAAAGGCGTGTTGCAGGCAAAACCGGAGGAGGAAGTGTTGTTGATACCATTTGATACCTCAAATCTCCTTGAGATCTCTTGTCTCAACTCCTGCCGGACAAAGAATTGTGCGACAAATGGTGACTGGGCAGAACTCATTGATTTCGGTCATAGCTCCTCGATCTGGCGCCGTCGAAAAAGGGATCTCTTCAGCGAGACTGGTGCCACGACTTCGTAGGGGTAAACAGACTGAACGACACGGGCTGCGATGAAGCCCAATTCTATCCATCTCTTCTTCACGCTCGAATTCCATGGAATTCCAACAAACGCACACTAATGCTACGTAACATGGAATTGGATGGCATGGCCCCTTGGACGAGGAGATTTTTCCTTTCCAACCCTATATATATATATATTATGGGGGTGTTTCCTCAAGACCGACCAGAACTTCCGTCCATTTTGTTCAACGACGACTTTGTCTTCGTCGCCTTCCGATGCCCGCCGTGAAAAACCCACGTCAGCCGCGGTCCGCCGTCGCGCATTCAACCCGCCGCGGTCCCCCGCGCCGTGAAAAACCCACGTCAGCCGATGCCATCCGCCTCGAAGATCCGTTGCCAGGATTGGAGTTTCCTCTCCCGGAAGGCTTCGGGCCTCGGAGGCCCCTCGGGGCCGGCCGAGGCGGAAGGTGTTGGAACAGTCGCATCCGGGGATGGCTGCGTGTTGGAACAGTGGCGCGCGGCTGTGACTGGGCTGTGACTGGCGACAAATTGCTTGGGTTAGTAGGTTGGAAAACAACATGGAGGTTTTCGAGCCAGGGAGTAAGGGGTTTGATGGATTTTGAGTGACAGGGGGGTAAGGTCCCAGTTTTCTGATGCATGATGATGAACTTAATATACTGAATGACAGAGTCTACCAGCACCATCCGAGCAGGATGTCCTACACATTCAAAGGAGATGAAACCGAGAGAACTCACTTTTGTGCCGTTGGTTTCAAAAACCACCTGTGCAGCGCCTCCCACATGTGCAGGGCCTTCTGTTTCAAACTGAAGCGCCTGCCGTTTCGGACTGCACAACGAAGCGGGCGAACTGGGTTTTGTGTTGTCAATGACTCAATGACCAGGGACAAATCTAAAAAAAGCTGATTTCCAGGTGCATCCTGTATGCACATAGATGCACATAGATGCGGAGGATAAGTCCTGTATTTCTTCACCCCCACTATCTGGCCATGCACGAGGACCTGGCTGCAGGTGGCCGGGGAATCTTCAAAGCCTTGTCAACAACGCCACGTGAGACATAACTACCGATGATCGACGACAATCTTATCAGGTTGGAGGCCATCGCTGGTAGGAGGCCATCGCTAGTAGGTACATTTCTACCTTTTTTCGACCTGAATCCTGCAGGGTGCACAGCCTGAGATCCCAACTCTGTGGTCTTGAGCGCAGAGAGCCTCAGCTACCACTCTCTCAGCAAGTGAAGCGGGATGAGAATGCAAATACATTTGGTCATTGAAAGTGTGTTACAAAACCAGTCCAAATACACACCAAACAAATGGTCCTTCAAGCTATGGCATGTCATTTGAATTCAATCTGCCCTGCGGGCAAAAGAGTGTTCCGTATGTTTTGGTCTATTTTCCAAACCTGGAAGGACTCACCTCAAACTCCCATGCCCAAACACGACTAATGGGACTGGCATGTATGGCTATATTGGCCCCTTTTCAACCACCCCAATGTAGGTGAATATGACAGTCCCATTAGTCGTGTCTGGGCATGGGTTGGTTTAATAAACCACCCTAAACCAACCTCAGGCCCTAAATACCCATGCATCTTTAGTCCTCTCAAACTCCCATGGCTTGGTTTATGTTGGATTCCTTTCCTTTAAGACGTGCTCGGGTGGGCTCTGATCCCGATCTCCAACGAGTGCATGAACGGTGAGAGGAATCATATAAACCCTAGGCTTCCAACAACATTTAATAGGCTTTACCAAATCAACTAAGGATTTTACACTACAAACCACCAGGTCGTTCCCATTTTTTAAATGGTCGTTCCCGGAAGTCGAACGGGTAAATATAGCTTCCACTACGACACGTGGATACACGTGTCTGTCCAGCCTCACGTTGTCTGTCCAGCCAACGAAAACGTTACGATCAATTCATGCACTTCCCGTCATACCATACGTGTGAATTTCTACTGACCTTTCGACCCCGGTTCTTCAATTTGCTTCTTCGGTTCTTCCAACATTAAACACACAGAAAAGCACATCCCCACTAAAAATGTATCGGAATCCGTGCACAGAAAAGCACATCCCCACTAAAAATGTATTGGAATCCGTGCACAGAAAAGCACATCCCCACTAAAAATGTATTGGAATCCGTGCACAGAAAAGCACATCCCCCACTAAAAATGTATTGGAATCCGTGCACAGAAAAGCACATCCCCCACTAAAAATGTATTGGAATCCGTGTCGCTATCTATTTGGGGACCATATTCGTCCTGACGAATGGAAACCCAGTGGCTCCTCATCTTCCTCCTCGGTCAGTGGCAAGGGAATGTCCTCGGTCCGTGTCCGCCGAAATCGCACAACACGCCGACGTCTACGGAGGAAAACATCTAACAGGACTATATACCAGGACCTTCCAACAGGATCCAACAGGTGGTTTTTGGACACCCCTTATACCACTAAGAGGCTATTTATAGACACCTCTTGGAAGGTCCTGGTAATTACAGTAAAGCATAATAAACAAATCACGGCTGTCACTGATTCAGGTTGTCCGAGTCTCGTTGAGGACATGGTTAAAGGCGTTGAACTGACTGGGCAGCACCTCTTCGCGTGGCACTTCCGCCTCACACATGCCCGCGTTGCTGACCACATCGGAGTTCGTTCTGTGGCGCTTGGGAAGGTCACTGAGTTGCCGATGTGGCTTGACAACAATAAGACTCCAACATCCGTAGCTGGCGAGGTCATGTCTTCCATAGACCACGACGTTATACGATGTTTTTTGGGGGGGTACTCAACTTTTCAGCCATATGCCCCATGGCTTTGCAAAACCAACGACAAGCACTGGTGACACCCATGCCGCTGACCGCATGGGGGAACCACTACATCACGCTGCCAGTGTTTATTGAACTCCTCTCAAGCCAAGGTGTCCCTGCACATACACCACCAACTAAGTCGTTGCCGCCTGCCCAAGAAATATGCTCAGAACAGTTCGACACATGTAAGAAAATCACATGAGATCCACATTCCAATCATGTTTACTGTTCGGAACACATCTCAGCAAAAAATGCAACACCCCAAAGAACACAATCGATATACCATCAGCCAACAAAAAAATGCCCAAGGTCTGTCTTCTTTGATGCCTCCAACAACAGAAAGGATCACACCGTTTTAAGGAGGCTGATGTCTGAAGAAAGAACCCGTTTTGGGAGCTGGCTGAACCATCGGGCAATTTCTGGAAATATCTAAACAATTCTAAACACTCCGTGCATGCCATATATGCCTACATTGACCCCCCAAACGACCCCATTGTAGGCAAATATGGAAAAACATGGAGTGTCTGGGAATTCGAAACATCCATTGAATTCGGCTTCAGATTGTTCCATCTTCTTCCTTAAGTCTTTGACTGCATGCAAAGACTTACCAAAACAAACCACATCATGAACAGTTCAAAACATACCAGGGCCTCTTAAGGGGTGGTTGATGGACACCCCTCTGTCACCTCTGGCCCAGGGGGCTATTACTAGACACCCCTCCTGGCTCGGGGGCCCCTCGTGACAGAGCCGGATTTGGCCCGATTTGCTGCAATTCCCGTGGTGTGAATCTATCGAACTGCAAGGCTCCATGGAAGCTCCCCCGAACCGCTTTCCGGCGCCTCAAGCAACACCGCGCGTTCTCCGCAGACCCAAGGTTCCGGAACATACCTCACACGGAGGATGATGTGAGTATGTGACTGGTAAGTCTGGTTCAGCCTTTGTAATGAAAAAGCCTACCCTATGGATGTCCAGTCCGACCCAGGTCCAAACCTGGTCCTGAACACCTCATTGAGTAGTGTTTTTATATGTGTTTATATCATCAGCTCCAGTCAAGCGAGGGCGTTGACCATCAAAGGTTTCTTCTGTCCATCGAATGGGGCGGCCCCAGAACTCAGCAGCAATAGAATCCCTCAACTCCGTTCCGGCGCAAGAAAAACGCACAACGACCCAAAAACAATCCAGAAGGGCAGAGATATAGAGTGTATGGTGAGATGGTGGTTGATGTAGAAGACTTGGCCGATGATCGGCGGTCGATCTATGTTCAACTTCTTGAGTCCCAAGATTGAACATCCTGGTGTCTCAGCTATCAAAAGGTTGTGGGGTGGTACTAGAATTGGCGAGACCTCTTTTTTCGCAACGAGCCCCTGGAAGGTTCAGGAAACAAACCAGTCTACCCAACGGGCCAGGGGGGTTAATATTAAAATCCACACCTAAAGTATATTCCATTAGCAGTGGACGATGATGATCCTGATGGTTCAGTTGGCATTGTTCCAGAAGAGTGATGCTTTTGTTTACCGACTGTTACATTGTTTCCTGGGACAGACCCAAATACACACACATCCACCCAAACACTCCATGGGACTGCCATAGGACTGCCGCCCCAGACAGACCCCCCCCAAACGACCCCTGGCCTGATCGGCAGTCCTATGGCAGTCCCAGACAGGTCGTGTCTGGGCCATTGAGTTCTTTGATCCCGATCGCTCTGCCACGCCCTGCGACGTTGTGAGGTCGTGCGGCACGGCGACGCGGAACAGCTCCGCACGAGAAGCCAAGCGGCTCGGGCTGCGCGCGACTGCGGAACTGTTGCCACACCCAGACTGGAGCCGGCAGCCCGGAGCCTGAGAACGGCAAATTTGAGATCGAACTCTTCCAACTATGCAACATGTCTGCTTTTTGGGCAGGAATTCATCGATGAAAAGGCAGAAACTTTGCAGAGTTGGAACACCCACTCAGGCCATGAAGACTCGTTTGCTTGATATACCCTTTCCATGTGGATGTGAAAAGCATTGTAAAACAGTTTCTCTCGAATTCTATTGGACGTTTGATGAATCAAGAGTCAAGATGTATGAGTCAAGCTAGAGTGCACATGAGTCCACATGTTGAGTCCTACCAGGTAGCTACGATCACCCCCCTTCCTCTGATCTACTTGGATTACTTGGATCGATCTCGATGCTTCGACCCCGACCCCGTGTCCGCCTCCGCGCTCGAGCCAGGACTGGGAGACCTCCGCTGAGCACGGCCCCACGCGCTTCCTGGGCCGTGCCAACAGCGGCACGGCACTGACGGCCGAGAAGGCAGGAACACGTGAGCGAGCAGGGCACGGAGATGAGAAGGTAGAAGATGGTGAAGATCTTCGAAGGAAGGTGCAGTAGTCAGCTTGTGATAGTCACCGTCTGTCATAGTCACCGTGTGATGTCCTCTTCAATCTTTCTGGCCACTAAGTATAATATGCTAGAAACGGCCGGTTCCACCACATCATGTCGGTTCCAGAGTCACATTCGCAGAGAAGACGATCTGATTTTGGTTCAAACGGCACCATGCACTGAACATGACCATGTTCAAGATGGTCCTATGTGAGTGTTTGACAATACTATGCCTGATTGATGATACAAATCATCAGGAAAGGCACAAAATGAATCACACACAGGGAAGTGGCACGAGAAATTGGGGTAGATTCATGGTGAGGCCAGCAGCCTTGCCTATCATCACCATATGTATCTAATTATATGCACCTATAATTATATGTATCTTGAGATCATGGATCCCAACCCTGTCTCTTTTTCCACTAACTTCTGGAACCTCACCATCCTCTCCAAGGCCTGCCTGGATCCCATCGGCAGCTCACATGGAGCCCAGTTTGGGGGACATCCAGCGCACACGCGGACGACGTCTCGTCGACACTCTCGACCTCCGGAGCCGAGAACCAACCCTGCCACCCTGCCAGCACGCCCGCTTGCATTTTTTTCCGGACATCTTGATAACTATAGTGACTTGTCACCCCAAAAAACACGCCCCCCCCCAAAAAAAAGAAAGAACAACAACAACAACGACAACAACAACAAGAACAAGACACACCCGTCAAACACCCCGTCCTGGCTGCTGAAACTCGACTGGTCCCGATCGATCCGGGGCACTGCACTGCACGGCTCCCGCTGCACCGGTTTCGCCAAAGGGCTGGAGCTCGTGGGACATGAATCCATACGAGTCCTGGTCGTGGATTCATGGTTTGTGTGTGATTCATGATATATGACAAACAATAGATATTTATGATTCCTAAATAAGAAAAGTGAGTTCCCTGCCAATATTGGGAGATGATTATAGAGATGTATTTTGGATGGTTCACATACATTGTTGGTTCTCCTGGTTCCTTGGATTGCCCACATCCTGTGATGTTCTGACTCCGAGAGCCGTTCCTATTTCCGGCTTGGACGTCTCCATGCGGTCTCTAAACTCAAGGGGCTCCGACTTCCCATCCGCGTGGCCACCCCCCCAAGGCCGCGGCGTCACGTTCGCGCCACGTCACCGATCCCTGTGCTGTGCGGCCGGCGCCACCGCGCCTCATTGCAAAAGTCGCCGTTCTCCAAATGCTTGGGCGACGCTCGCACGGCGCCGGCCTTCCTCAGGCGCGGAGTATTCGCGTCGGTTCGCGAGTCGGACCCAAAGACGGCAGCGCGTCGTTCGCCCGACTGTGGTGGATTCTTGTTGGGCTTCAAAGCGAAGTTCCAACCGAACCGTCCAACTTGGTTGGTCTGTGGTGTTTGTCCTTTATTTTTTCCCCAACTAAGGTTTCTGCAGGTGATCCACTTGGTAGGTAGCGATAATCCTTATTCGCCAAGAAACCCATCCCCCAAAAAAAACAAAGCAAAACATTACCCTTTTCTAAAGGGAGAGAGAGAGAGAGAGAGGAAGGGAGGGAGGGAGGGAGCGGACCCAAGGCAAGTGACGTGTGAATAAACCGCCGACCCATCTGTTCTATCTTGTTACTACTAGTAACAAGTGCCACGCTAGTAGTAACAGGTGCCTTACTAGTAGTAACAAAAAGCTATATTAGAATTAAGTTAAATATATGTTAAATTAATAGCTTCTTGTTACTCCTAGTAAGGCACTTGTTCCTGGTAGCGATGCACTTGTTTCTAATAGCTTCTTGTTGCTACTAGTAAGGCACTTGTTACTAGTAGAACTTCGTAAAATCTATTCGCCAAGCATCAGCGCAGCCTCATAGCCGCTGAGACTCTGCAGCGTCCAAACACGCACCATGATCGTTGCTTCGTCGGCTGTTGGGGTTCGTTGCTGTGCGTTGCTGTCACAGGCGAACCCAGCACAGGCTCCCATCACGCGAAGATTGGCCGCAGTGCGTTGCGAAGCCCATGGATATAGCTTGGGTCTATCCTATTGCCAGCAACAGTGGACGATGATGGTTAATTAAAGCGGCCATTCTGTGACAGGTCATAGGCACCAAGATACCAGTGGACCCCCAGTCGGGGTGGTTTGCTCTGGGTGTCCCCGCATCACAGCTCGTTGGGGCTATTTGCATGTAGACACCCCGAACGAGTCGGGTCCGACCGTAGGACACTGACCGACCTTGCGGACTTTGAACCGACCTTTTAGACTAAGGTCGAAGCCTGGATTGGCTTCGACTTCGAGAAAGACTAAGGCAGCCATTGGGGATCTGGTCTGCGGGATCCAGACGTTGTGTTGGGCTGAACCCGAAAAGCCTGCAGAGAACATAGGTCATTCTCAAGACGAGGGGCACCAAGAAAACAACATGACTGCTGTTAGATCGGCTCACACATGTCGTGAACACCAGCTTGCACGGATGGTCAACCGTGCTCCACACCGCACGCAGGCTTTCAGGACGCAGCAGTTCCCTAAGGCCTCCTCGTAGTCCCACTCGCCATCGCCTTCGGCCCATTCCTCATCCTGGTGCCGGCGCAGCGAAGGTGTCCGGTGAAGCCTCTCGGGGACACCTGCAGGATTTATATAGACGACGTGTCCTTTCAGTCTTCCTTTCAGTTTGGATAGAAAACATGATGTTCGATCATGTCCATATAGTATTCTATCAACACCCCTCTGAACTCATGGCTCACTTGCCAAGTGGTGGCCGCCATGACAGTCACGGGTATGCTTGATCTCAATGTGTGCAGCTTCACTTCCTTCAACACTTGGCCCTTTGCACCTAAAATCAAGCAAAACCCGAGGTTTCGCTGGAAAACCCGATGTTTGCAAGCTGTTAGTGTGCAAACCTAAGGTTTCGACACAGACCCGAAATTTTTTAAGGTTTTCGAAGGTGAGGGTAGTTAGGAAATGCTAGGAAGCTGGTGAGACCGGTTGCTTCGCGGAAGTCGCCGCGCTCCCCCCGCTCAGAGTTCTGCGCTGCGCCTCATCGCCTCCTGCAAATGGAGAAGTCAATTGGTCCTATCCCTCGCCGCCTCTCTCAAACCAGACCAGACCATGGTCTATCCTACCAGGGCCAAGTGGATGATGGTTCAGTTGCAGGCCTTGTTCAAAAAGAGTGATCATTGTTTACTGACTGTTACAGGTAATAGGACAGACCCAACATATAATTGTGCAGCTCATTTACGACAATGACCCCTGAGTTAAAACAACATAAAATAACTATTCCAGTCTCATGGATGGTGAGGGTATAGCAATCCACTCCCCACCCTTTTGCAACTCCTTCTGCCACTCCTTCTGCCTGTACTCATTGGTTTAGTTTGGACAAACCATGACAAACCGCATCCTCCATGATCGGACGGAAGAGGTCACTGAGATCATTGTGTTCTGTTGACCATCTGCACGGGATGTGGGGTCTTCGAAGTCCAAAAGGCCGTCCAAAGCAGACCTTGATGTGTGTTCCCTTCCCACCAGAATCAATCAGAAACATTCAAGGATGTGATCGAAAGTGTGAACCGACCCAAGTCAAACCCAAACCAAACCCTGCTGGCTTGGGGGCTTATAAACTCCTGCGTGATTCCTTGCTTAAGGAACCGAGAAGGGGATTTAACCCATAGCGAAAATAGACAATCACCACCACTACAATCACACCTTAAGCAAAACCAGGGTGACCCTCAAGCTCGTCGGTCACCAGGCAGCGCTCCAAACTCTCGCTCCGCCTGCGGGCACAATGGCGGTGCTCTGCACGCCTGGCGGTCTGGCGGTTGCCCGGTCTTCTTGGAAACAAACATCCGGTCCGGCCCTTTGGAGAAGGACATCTCTGAGAGAATTGCTTCAGGGGAGCCTTGTCCTGGATCACGGGTGCACATATCATGAGAGTCGCTGGTATATTTATTACATGCATGTTTGTGTCCCGCGATGTGCACCAAACGTTCCCAGCCGCTCTCGGCCACAGTTCCATGGAGCTGAACGGAGGACCGAAGGGACGTACGAACGGTTTCGGGTGCCGGTTCCGGTTCCGTGCAACCATCGACATCCACGGCCGGAAGATGGGACTCCAAATCAACCATCAACATGGAACTGGAAGAATTTGAAAAATGGACTGCAAAGATCATATCGTTTATGTAGGATGAGTGGACAAGACTGCTTCTACAAGTAAGACTAGACTGATTCTGAGCAACCTCAGAACGGACTTCTTCTCAGTCTGCAATCCAATCGCTCCATCTAAATCGCTTCTTGGACATTCTTGGACAGCACTGATGACTCCGCGCGCGCGCACCGCACGTGCGGTGGCCTTTGGGAGCCGGAAGATCTGCTCCCGCCTCAACGATCCAACGATTTCGCACGCGGAAGGCAGGACCTGGCCTAGTGCCATGTGAAAAAGCGGCCACATGTGGTTCCTGAGGTCCATCTGGGAACAGCAGAAATTCATAGAAAAGTCTGCCAACACTCCCAAATGCTATTTAAATGAATCCTAAAAAGGATCTCCCGGAATCTTCCCATATATATAATCTCTTCCCGCCAATGTTCCTTTCACCCCTGCTTCACCGAGTGCCCTGGCCCGGCGCATGAGCTCCGCCGCTTTCGAGGCCGTCATCGACATGGCCTGCGCGCATGAACTCCGACGCTCGCCCCGCTCCAGTAGAGCGCCACGGGGCGGCCGAGCCGGAAGGGTCCAGGAGCAACTGAAGGTCTGGAGCATCTGTGGGAGAGTCAGCCGCTGAGTCGGAGCTGAGTCCTGGAGTTAAGAGTCTAGCTGAGTCCGAGTCGGGTCCACTTCAGTCGACTAGTTTCGTCCTCCTCTCTTGTCCAGTCGACAGCAAAGAGTCGACTGGAGTCGGTCACTGACACGAAAAGCTACATCATCTCCATGGCACCTTCGGCCCCGTTCGCCTGGTTTTAACCTGGTCCTTTTGACACGGTTTGTTCCAGGGTTCTTGTACCTCACAAAATCCTATGGTAAAACCATGGTTGCTCGATGTTGTCCGGTAAAGTCAAAGGCTAATCAATCAGCCCATGAGTATACTTCGGTGTAAACCAGTCCCGCAAACGGGCGGATTCTTACATAAAACATCATAAAACCAGTCTCGCTGCCGCCAGCTGCGCCGGGCCTGTGCCGGGCCTCTAACCGCCGCGTCGTGTACGACGCGGCGGCCTTCCCAAGGGCCAAAGCACTGCCTTAGCATCACAAAGGGGGCCTTAGGAAATGCCCACAAGACCAGTTAAGACTTGTTGAAGTGGTTGCTACCGAACTTGAGGAGTTTCCAAGGCTCACCTTGTAACAAAGGCATGGGTTGCTTCAAGAGCTGTTCTTTGGAAAGAAACCAAGCCCTTTATTTATCTTTCTGTTGTTTTGTCACAAATCCCTCCCAACTCATCAGCACAAGCTTCAACTCAGCAGACTCAGCCCCATACGCGACGCGCGCGGCGCGCCCAGGGGTCACAGCTCCCCTCTAATCTACCCGCCCACTGCAGCCAAAGAGAGGAACAACCAGGGGCGTGTCCTTTTTTTGGAAAGCCATGTGCATGGGAGAAAGCAATCAGTGAATCAGCACCGGTCCATGCCCTATAATGTAGCAATGTACACTTGTTGACCATTACAAAACCCTCCCTGTATGAAGGTGTGTTGCGGTGTTACAATCCAAACCGCTTGTTTGAAGTCGATCTGATCAACCCTCTAAAAACAACAAGGTTCCAAGGATCTCGCTGATGACTCATCTCATGCTTCTACTTTCCCAAGGATCGCTTCGCTTCGGGTTCTGGGCGTCTCAGGTGGTCTTGGGCGGTGAAAACACAGATCAAGCTCAAATCCCTCGGTTCCCAACGATGCACGCCAGTCTGGATGCCATTAAATCAAACACCTTAGGATTCCCAAGAATCGGGAGTTGCGACTAGATGGCGCTGCTGCAACACCTAAGGACTAAGGACTCGTTAAACAGTTGGAGCCCGAGATAGGCTCCAGCGACCTCACAAGGTAGGGACCGACCGGTCCACCCCAAACACCGAAACTGAGAGTCACAGACGCCGCTCTACAGGGTTCGTGTGGCGCAACTACTGCGCGTGTGTTTCTGGCGCACGAAGGTTCGTGTGACGAGGGGGGGGAGAACGTCGGAGACGTCGAGCGTGGTTACGCTTTTGATTTGAATCGCTTAGTCCACAACATTGACATATCCCAAACACTCCATCTATGGAACAGTTACGTACCTTCATTGGGGTCATGTTCATGGGGTCAATGTCAGTGACTATTCCATGGATCGTCTGGGAATACGGTATGGTCTTAGACGAGGTGCTCTGGTGGCAAGTGTCTTGCCACTCTGTGACTGGTCCCTTTTCCTCTCCACCAGAAATCCCCAACAGTTCATCTGGGTGTCGTCTGCTTAGGGGCACCTCCCAACCAGTCTGCTTTTAGTCTGCTTTTGGATATATTCTCAGAGGGTCGACCTGGGGGGGCTCCCATTCCCGTCTCCTCTACGACTTCTCCATGCTTCGTCCTTTTTCCAAGGCGACCCTTCGGGTCGACGAAGGAAAAGATTCGACACGTCACAGGGTCCACGGACGGTCGGACCTTGGATTTAGATCCTCAAGGGCCAGGGGTATCGATATCTACTTGTATCAAGGTATCAGATGGTATCAGTGGAGCTATCCTCTATACGAATCCATCCCAGAAGCAGGCCACCTTAGGCCATCTTAGGCCTCTAGGTCAGGATGGAAGCTTGAAAGAACAAGTGTGATCCACTTGAACACTTGGCCACTTACAGACTTGCTGAATTTCCTCAGGCACTTCTGGAACCTTGTAGACCCTATGAGCCAGCCATATCGCCTTTGGCAGGCCTTCGGAGGTTTCACACGCCACGCTACCGGTGCTTTGCCCCGGGGGGGGGGGCCTTCGGCGCCCGCTCACGCACGCGCTACCCCGCGTGAGAACGCCCGCGAGGATGGGGCGTCCAGCTGTGAGGCAAAGCCGGAGGTCGTTGATGCATGAATTGTTTTCTAAAGTAAGGATCTTAGAGGCTCTGCTAACTGCCTAGCCTCAAGTTGGCAGGTGCCTAGGGGTGGTGGGGCCCTTTTTTTCAGGTTTTTGTGCCCCGGAAAGGTTTCGTGATCCCTTTGTGACCGCCACAATTCTTGCCAGGTAGAGAGAAACCAATCCTAATCCCCCTGCAAGAGGTGCCAAAAACACTTAAGCAGCTATAGGAAAAAGTGCCGACGCAGCCGCAGTCTTCCCCCACAAACATGGCGACAAGAGCTGATGTCGCATCATCTGTCACACTCATGACTCCAGCTGTTCTTACTAAAGCATGGCTTGAAGCCGCCGGCTTGTGCCCACCCCCGCTGGGAACGGCCTCTCCAGGTCTAAAAAGTTGAAAAATCAATGCATCCCTCAGGGTGGCTCTGAGATCAACTGGGTACTCAGAAATCTGAGAGTCATCTGAGTGAACTGAGGGGGGCCTCCGCCGTTTTTCAGGAGGGTTAGGTTGTTTACTTCTCAAAACGCGGCATGAGGCGTACTTTGTGGCAGAAGAATAGGTTCTAGAAGTCGCGCTTTGCCATTTTCCGCCACCCTGGAGAGGACTCTTCAGGCAAGCTGCTTAGACCACCTACCAGCTCCTCGATGGGTTTGGATTTCGCGAGATTGGCAGTGGGGCTAGGGCCGCTAGGGCCTCACCAGTCTTCATCTACTTGTTCCACCAACCGACAGCCGAGAGTGGCGCTGCTCAACCGCCCAGGAGGACGAATTCCTCAACAAACCAATCGGCAAACCCTCAAGGAAAAAGGTCTGGTCAACTCGATTCTGACATGGGATCTTCTATGAAGGGGATGGATGACTTGGGTTGTTTGTTGGGTTCTTGGCCATGTGTTGCAGCACAGTACCGCAGCTTGCCTTTCTGCACGATGCAGCTCATCTGCTTCGCAGGATGGCGTCCACAACGCACAAAAATAGAGCCGATAGCTGCCTATCTGATCTTGAGCCATAGTCTACTGAGTCTGCACACTCCAACACCCTTGAAACTGGCCATTCGCAGTTCTTATTGCTACGCTTTCCTACCGCAGTTCCTATTCCACGCTTGCTGTTGGAGAAGATCCTGGTGTAGGAGATGCTATCCAGGACAACTGAAATTCCAATGTGTGGATGCTGTCCAGGTTCAAACCCTCCAAGGTCGAATCTTACTCCCTACGACGGAGAAAGGAACTGACCTCATTTCACTGGAGTTGATCATACAAAAACACTGCTCAATGAAGTATCTTGGACCAGGTTTGACCTGGTTCAGGCTGGACCTGTATAGACACGTTTCTTGATATGTGATGTGGATGATGTGACGACCCTCCTTCCTCGGCGCAATGGGCAACAGAAGGGCTAAGGTGAGTCTAAGAGAACTGAACCTTTGCTGTAATCTTCGAGAGCTGTGATAGTGGCAATATACTTCTATCCCTTAGCAAATCCCCTCTCACAAAAAAGAAAGACCATGCAGGAATCAGCAGGAAGGTAGACCGTGGCTCCCCTTTGGTCAGACTAAGAACACTCTCTTCCACGCCCAAAGCGACGTGGCGCGGCGACGTGGCGCGGTAGCCGCGGGACGTCATCTTACGAGAGCTGTTGCACCATGGCCTGAACGAGCCCCTCCTTGTCGAGGCCCTCGCAACTCACGCCCACATCTTTCAGCTCCTGTCCAGCACCGGACAAAAGCGTCCGGGGCATGTGAGACGCGAATCCGGAATCTGTTTGGTGGAAAGGAACTCGCTTCTGACCTAAGAGTACAAGTAGCTATAGCAATTTAGTGATTACCTATGAGCCTTTCAGTGAATCGGCTCCAAAGAAGTACTTTTCCCGGGCAGTATGTCAGCCGTGGGTTCTTCATTCAAAGAATTGTGACATCCTGCGCGTGCAACATGGATGAGAGAATGGTTCAATGGAGGTGGTTGTTCAAACCGGAATGCTCAAATGAACATGGCGAACACGAGTGGGTCTTTGACAGGTTTTTTGACCATTGGTAGAGGGTAGTCAGACTCTGACCATGCACATGTTACTCAAACCATGGTCGTTTTCGGCCCAAGTACCCGGGCATATATCATTCTCCCAACTGCAAACGCCACACCTTCCCGAACATATATATGGCAATGGATCATGGCACCCAACAGACCATCACCGACCTGTTGATCTACCGGGAGGTCATGCAAGCTCCACACGAGCCAAGGAGATCCTGCTTGGACGACCTGCAGCCACCTGACGCGCCCCAAAAATCCCGTCGACGGGTCCTCAAGCATGTCACCCACCAATTTCCCAACTTTTTGTCGCCGCGCGGTTTTCGCTTCGGTCGTTCTCCGCCTGCGACAGTGCCTCCTGAGGCACTTGCCGCAGTAGCCGGAGCATCATGGCGCTCCGTGAGGCGTCGAGGCCTTGGATTCACGGTGACGGTGAGGCGGGGTTGTGGTGTGGGCGAAGGCATGGGTAGGAAGGCTCTGGGGTGAAAATGGGTGAAACACCTCTGACTGGATCCGAGAAAACGGAAGCGGAGGATCTGGTATTGGGAAAACCTGCTTTTACGGAAGAAGCGGGGAAGAAGTGGTTGCCGCTTTCATGTTTGGAGAAAGGATGAGAAAGGGTACAGTATGTGCATATGCAACGTCTCACTGAACATGCGAGAGACTTGATATACTGCAAGAGGTGGCACCAGACCTATAAGTGATATTGATCACAGATTTACTTCCACTTAAACATGAGATACACACATATTCACATGTACACAACAGGTGTAACTAGTTCATGGGCTGCATGCCTTTCACATGTTGGTGGGCAGTGCCTTGACATCGACCTTCTACGTGTCTTTTCGGTCCCAATCCATCACTGGCCCATGGACGGTCCATGCTTCGGATTGGGATGAGGATGTGAATGGGAAAGGACAGGGACCATGCGTCCTGTGACCAAAAGCTTTTGTCCGGTTCTGCGGATCCGCATGGATCTCCGGCATGTGCGGAGCGGCGTCGTTCACGTCGGTTTGACTGATTCCTTTGAGGTCAAGTTGGCCAGCATCCAGCTACCCAGAAACTCAGAAACTCATCCAAGGATGCATCATGTCTTCAACTCTCTTGGTGCATCTTGGTGCCAGTATCATATAGCGACTTTGTCTAAAGAGGTCCAATGAAGCTAGTTCCCTATTGTCAGTATCAACTGGGAATGCCTTTAGAATTCAGGTCTTGTTCCTTTCTCTTTCTCTTGAATCTTTTTGGTTACAGTAAGATGCTAAGTCGTTGTTGGACACATCCACACCCACCTTCCGCCCGGCCACCAACGCCCGCCCTAGTCTTCCCCGCCCTCCCGTCTTCTCCCCGCCCCTCCCCTCCCAGTCGGACCCGCATCGCCGGGTGGCGATGACGGACCTCGTTCGCGAGGTGCTCCGGCACGTTGGTCTCGTCCAAGACGTCGGGTCTGAGGTGCTTCAGCTGGGAGTCGCTGGACGCACCAGAGCCACACGCGACGTCGGTGTTGAATCGATTTCAGGTGAAAAGGAAGGATCGGTGAAAAAGGATGAAAAAGGTTCATTGAAAAAGCAGGCGTGCCACAGTGCCATGTGTATTTTGAGGTGTACCAATGCTTCCAAAAAGGTCTAAAGCATGCAATATATACAAACAATGTTGATGGGTTCACTAGCATCAAGATGCATGATGCATCAAGATTACATACTCAACAAATCTCAATATAACATCTGATTCTAAACAGTGAGTGTCTCAGTGACAATGATTGGCTCGGCTGTTCAGCCTGTGGTGACAATGTGATGGTCGTTCACTTCAACAAAAGTCCGTCTCTTGTAAAAACATGTGGAATGGTGCCTGGTAGTTTCACTACCCAAACAACGGCACGATGGTCTTATAGAACTTTGGTAAGTGAACCCTACTTTAATCACAACAAAAAACACATGATTGCAGTTGAAGAGGAGTCCACCAGCTGAGTAATCCACTGCGGAGCACACGCTGGACATGAAGGACAACTAATGTTTTCACATGAGAAAACCTATCTCTGACTCACTGCTCTTCCGTGCATTACATCAAAACCCTCACCATGGTGAGGACTTCTTGTCAAATCTCCTGTCATCAAAAGTACCCAGTCCCTGGATTCTGGCGATAGATGGATTCCCGAAATCCAGCCACCCCGTCGATGTATAAAGATTAGTCACCAAATGGGACGTGGCTTCTGCATCCTCGAACTAGCCAGGTGGACCCGCCGAACTCCAAAAGAAAGATCGCGGAAAGCGGAAGCATCGCGGCCCCAGCGGAACCACTTCCTTTCGGGCCCGGGCCCCGCGTGCGTGGTGATCTTTTCCTTTCGTGGCCTCATGCCTGATGCTTAGCAAACTCCCGGACAGCTCAAGGAGTTTGATTCGATGTCGATCCCTTTTGCATATTCGGGTATGCCGGTATGGCCCATGGCAGTTCTTTTGGCGAAACTGGAAGCTTTGTCGGACCTTTCATTCAAAATAGGGCTCGTTTTGGTAACTTTGGAGGCATGGTGCACCTGGACGAAATCTCTGCTTCACAGGTTCAAGCCAAACAGGAACACCTCCAACACATCGAGTCTCCTGTCTCCTTAAAGAGATCTCAAAGAAAGTAGCAACACCATGCAACACCTGTTTTCATCCTGGACTTTGGACCAACCTCAGTGTCTCTGTCACGAACTCATGAAGGAGGCAGCAAGACATCAATCCAAACAAATGGTTCCAAATTGATCCAAATTGAAGGTTTTCACTTGAAGGTTATCCACCTTTCTTTGGGTACTTACCCGGAAGTTTGTTAAACTTGGACATATAGGTTATGAGCCTCCGAACTTCAGTTTAAAAACATCTCCCAACCTTTGTCCAACGCCTTTCCCAAACCCTATCTATAGTGTACTATAGCGTGCTTGGAACATCATCTCAGAAATCCGACACCTTCCACGTAGAGGACGCCAACAAATCCCGCCAAACGGGGATGACGTGACCAGAGGGACTTTGACCAACAAATCCCGTCAATATCGTGACCCCAACCAAACCCAATGCACTCGCCTTGGCTCGAGTCCACCTTTGGCCTGGCGGCGTTGCTGAAGGTGCCATGGTGGAGGTCTGCATCACGCCAACCACCACCACCACCACCACCACCACCACCACCACGACGACTACTACTACTACTACTACTACTACTACTACTACACCTACCACCTAGCACCTAGCACCTACCACCTAGCACCTAGCACCTACCACCTACCTACCACCTACTACCAACATCTACCAACTATATTTATATATGGTGCTATACCTACCGCTACACCGCTTCCACCCACTAGGCCGCCCGGCAGACGCCCATCCGATGCTTCGGAGCGCAAGGTGCGCGCCGCGCGGGCGCCGGAGCCCTCGGGAGAGCGAGCGATTCCGCTTGGGGCGCTGCCCGGGCGCTTGGGGAATGGTCATGGCTCGTTGTTTTGGACCATGGATCGTTTGACGACCACCGTCTTCCATGGCCAGTGTTTTGGGTTTGAAAAAACGGGAGACTTCTCCAACTGAATGCTTTTCTTGGCTCTTGTTCAGTCTATATCTGCATCTAATTGATGTTGATACTACGATCACCCAAACACTTCATGACACTCCATGGCTTTGGGCCAACCCATTGACTGCCCCCAAGTGATCGGAGTCCCATGGATCGCTTCCAGGCTCTAGGTCGGGCCACCAGGGCCACCACGCGACGCGAGGCTGCTCTGTGCTTCTTAGGGTGAGACTCTCCTCAACGTGGCGAGTAGTTGTAGTGGTAAAAAAACAACCTAATCCCTAGGGATCCAGTCGTACCTTCTCACAAGGGCCCAAGTACCTCCTGAGAAGGTATGTGGACCCCAAGGGAATTGATATCTGTTGATCCTTGTAGAGATCGAACATGGGGACGATTGATCCGGTGAAAAGTCTTTCAATGTCCCATTCACCTGACCGAGTGAACATGGCCTCACCTGGGACCGAGTGAAACGCTTCCCCGCTCCGCTGGGCCACACGAAAACCTAGTGAGCTGGGCCACTGGAAGCTCTGGCGACATGTAAACTGACTGATGCGACTCGTAGGGAATGAGAGAATGAGATACCGGATCCAGCCACCCTCATTCTTTACTTGTCGCACCAGTAAGTAAGGGTGCTCCTGCTTGCATCCAAACCTCAGCACCTGATCCAAAGCTCCAGTCCCCCCCCAACGAGCCCATCCGGTGCACCGAGCTCCAGACGCCCACCGAGCCCATGGAGCTGCTGCGCACTGAGGGCAGCTCCTGGTGAATTCAGGACTGCAGGTGGTGGCGGGGGGGGGTTGCAAGAAAAATCCGACGATCTGAGCAATCAAGAGTGAGCCAGTCCAGGTGATTGCAAGAAGAAGGTGGATGTGTGTTGTTTTTGTCCAAAGGATGGATGTATGGCAATGATGTTGGTGGATGTGTTTTTGCTCGTGTCATCACCCCCCTTGCACAGAAAATGACCACCAGGTTTCATGAGTTGTGGATCGTTCATGATCAATATCATCACAAGCAACAGTGATACATGGTCTATCAGAGTCTATGAATGATGACAAGATGAACAACAAAAGCACAACATTACATTTATAGGAAGTAGAAGAATCGAGGTCAATAGACCTTCATCCTCCTTCACCATAAACCACCCTGGAGATGATTTGAGTTCCTTCACCATACTCCTCTGAAAAAAAAAAGAACGCCCAAACACTCCATGTCATCTTTGCCTGCCCAGTACCCTTGGCTTGATTTCAGAACGTTGAAAGGAGGTCCATGGGGGCGAGCTGGCACGTCCTCAAACGCCGTGACCGCGCGCGCCTCCCTGGCACCGCCACGTGCATCGGGCGCCGGCGAGCGCCCGCCGGAAGGCCGGCGCTTTTTGGGCGAGGCCTGTGCGGTTTCATCCGGGGCAAAGCACCAAAAATCGAAAAGCTGGTATAAACAGTATGTCCAGTTCTACAAAAGACTTAAACGCCATATAGACCGAACATTATACATGCTTGTATAGTATAGTGGCAACTGATAGTTGAAACACTGTCGATCTTTCATGGCTAGGCTTAGTGTGCGTCATGTTGATTTCAATCGTGAAGGGGAAGTGCCTTCAAGATCGAGAAACATGGACTTCAATGAGAAAAAAGAAACTAACATCAGATTTCTTGAGAAATATCAGATGAAATCAATGAGAAACTAACAGATTTCCAGGGATTCGAACCCCTGTTCGAGCTAGAACCCCCCCCCCTCTTGAGTCCACCGGCTTCTGAAGGAGGCCTGTGCAGTGACGTGGCGTCAATGAATTTAGAAAAAAGAACGGTCTAACCTCCTTCCAACAAACATGGAAGTGGACAACCCCCAGGTCTTTCCAGGACACGTCGTCCACTTCCATGATTATTGGAGTGTGCCAATTGTTGGCTATCGTTTGGAGTGTGGCGGCTATCGTTTGGAGTGTGGCTAAGAGAACTGATTTTGAGAATTTGTGCAGCTTTCACACACACAGTCTTGAATCAATGAATCAAGGCAACGGGCGATGATGGTGAATTCCCCCGCGAAACCAAACCTAGCCATGCACGGTCGCCCTGCCGGTCTTCCGGGAGATTCCGCGAGTTTCCGGGAGACCCGTACGTTGATCGGGGAAAATCAGTTCACATGCCATTAATGAGTTTGCTAATGTTTGAGGCCAAGGCTTTTTGGATTTGGCAGCTCCCAGGAACTGGGGCAACAAAGGAAGTTGGGGGGCAACACCAGTAAAAGGTCACATCCGTCTATACCGTCACCATATACCTGGTTCTTCAAAGTGACCGAACTTGATATCCGAGTTTGAGGTCACAAGTTGGGGCCTGTAAAAGGTCACTGGATGGCACTCCAAAGAGGTCACGAACTGACGAAGCTGGTATAGGGTCATTGCTTTTATGGTGTTGGCTTTTCCTATAGGGAAGATCAAGGAATCATCAGCCCGGGCCTTGAGAAAACCAAACTCCGTTGTTTCAAGATCACGTGATCTAAAAAAAACACCTGGATCCACCAAACCATACCCAACCGAAGACATCGTTCGAATCTAGAAACATCAAACATCGGAAACACCTGTCATCTCCAAAATACCTTCATGAAACCGCAAACTGTCGATGCACCAGCCCCCCCCAGGCCAGGATCTGGGATCTGACCTACAGCCATTCTGCTGAACCAAGGTACCCCGGTGCCATCACCCACCGCACAGCCACGTAAGGCATCGGTGCCAAATAAGCCAGCCAGTTCCATGGGGGTGTCTGGGTAGCATGGAGTGTTGCCTGTCTAGCCTGTCTAGCTGCGGCTCATGGGTGCCATCCACTTTGATCGACCTACCCAGCCTGGCAGGCGACGCTGGCCCCCGCGCCGGGGAGGGCGGCGGCTTGGGTCGGTTCACCACCTGGGGCGGAAGCAAGTCCCGACGTGGGTCGGACGAAAGACCCTTCTGTCCACTGAGTCCACTGGTTGGTTTAGATGTAGTGGTGTTAACATGGTTTAACGATGTTTGACACATCGAACTACTCAGAGTCAGATGTTTTGATGTAGCGGTTTGTAGATTGGTGGTTAGATGTGTTGTGTCCACTGATGCTTTTTTTGCTGTGGATTTTCTAGATGTTTCTAGCTATAGCCATGCTTAATGTCCCTGTTGTCTCAAACAGCATTCCTTGCTTTGTCTCAAACAGCATTCCTTAGGAGTGGTCGAATGTACCTGTCAACTACCTTCAGCCAGGCACACCAGGCACATGCAAAGAGTCTGTCACTTGTATAACAAGTTCTAGACTGGTCTGCATCGCTGGTTTCATATTTTCTTTCATACATGGTCAAAAAATGGTGTACAACCTCTGAAGACTGGGAGTATGTGATACCTCATATGGTGTACCTCTGCAGACTATCGACCCAAGACCTCTGGGCGCCCGTGCATTGGCGCAGATCGGAATATGCCGCTCCGCCGCTTCCGGGTTGAAGTGCCGCCCACAGTGGTGGCACTGGATCTGTCGAGTGGGACCGGATCAGCGGTTTCGGACTGCCACGGATGAACCGCGGACTGCCATGACACTGAACAGATATGACCCATAGACTCCGACTGCCAGTCCGGACTGCCGCCCCAGACAGACCCCCCCTGGCACCACCCCAACTGATCGGCATATATGGCATACATGGAGTCTATGGGTTATGACATACTCAGCTGTAAGAATCTTGGAAAGTACATATCCCATCATTAGCTACTAGCTGGAACGGCTGGTTGGGGGAGAAGTCCCCGTGCTCAGCGTTAGAAGCTAGGTGGCAAAGGTCCAAAACATTCCAAAATGATCGAACATCAGCTAGGCGATCGCAAACATCGACATGAATTGATTGGTCTTCCAACAGCTTTGCTTAAATATAAAACCGGAAGCAGCCTTCAGGAACTCTTTCAAGACCAACCAAAACAACTAAACACCCTCTTCATCCAATCTACACATTGATGCTGCCAAGATCTGTCAAGATACGTTGCTGCACCAACTGAAGATATTTGCATGCATACCCCCACAAAGACCTTTCACCAATTCCTTGGGAGTTTGGGCTTGTCTTTCCTACCATGCCCCAAAAAGACCTTGAAAACAGTCCGCAACCCTAGGGTAAAACATGGTAAAACCACACGCTTCCATCCTTGAAAACAGTCCGGAATTAAAACATATACTATACACAAAAACAAACTCTCAGACTGAACCAAACACACTCTGCCTGGCGCAATTCCGGCGCCGCAACCGTTGGACCTGAATTCCGCTCTCCCCTCGACTCGTGTCCACCTCTGCTGCGCCCGGCTGAGTGGCCCGAGCCATGCCCGAATGGTCCGCCGGCCGGGGTGGTACCTGTAGCATCGCGGAACCGGCAGTGTTGGGTGTGAAGAATGAAGACAAAACTAGATGGCGCCGAACAAAACTAGATGGTTCAAGTGGACCAGGGAGTGTTTGTTGTGTATTTTGGGGAAAGCCGGTGCAGAACAAAGAGATCAAGGGTGCCGGGCCGATAACACTCCTGACGAGGAGCACTTAGTGAGCTGTGAGGACCGGTGTTTCACATGTGATATGCGGAGCCCTTGGACCGCCATCGACTTGAATAAATCATGCCTCCCAATCCAGCTCGACATATCTAAGGCCTGGCTCGTCCTTGGCTACATATGTTAACAAACCGACACCTTCACCAACTTTCACCATCAAGTAAAACTCGCCAAGGAAAACAGAACTTCCCCACCAAGAACCATACCGCAAAGGCCTTCCAAAATCTCCTCGACTTTCCTGGAATATTGATACTCATCAATTGACTGGTGCGACTTGCAAGAAATGAGGGAAGGAGCCCGAAATATCGATTCCAAACATGGATTCCTTTCAATCCATTCCCTCCTTCTGCTCAGCAGCACCTCTAAACCCCTTCTGCGCCATCCCCCCCCCGGGCACCTCCTCGCCCCTACCGGCGCGACAGGCTGAAACGAACTCTTCCTCGGTCGGGTGTGCGCGGTCTTCCTCGACCCACGTCACCGTCCGCCCCACGCTGAGTTTCGGCGGACCAGGGGTGGTTGGAATCCACACCCTGAGTGAAGACCTCTGAATAGACATACCGAGGATCCTGGATGGTCCTGGAGGGTCTTGGAAACTGAGATGGAAGTGGAAAAGCGCACCTGTTTGGTATTCGGAGAAGAGTCATCCAACGGGCCATGCCATCCACATAACATGTGATGTCTTCGTCGGAGGGCAACAGATTGAACCTTTTTGGACGACATCATCTTTTGGAGTGAACCTCTTTGCCAGTGATCGTGCTATTGTTGTTCGCGAGTGATCATGAGAATCAAATTAGTATGATGTGCTTTGTATTGTTTTGTGTGTATTTGTAGTTAGGCTACTGGCACGTCCAACAGCTGCATGAAGTGTGCTTTTGTAGGGGGTCACCTACACGTGAACGCCGCTCGTCTCACACCGCCGCTGTCGGCGCGGAGGACAGCTGAGGGGCGTGTTGTCTGCGCCAAGACCTGAGCGAAAGGTCAGTTGATAAAAGGAACTCAAAATCATACAGTGCAGTGGTTTCAGAGTAATTAGATGGCACGAGTTACCCCAAGTTAGGTGGTGCCAGTGCAATCTAGTCTCAAAGCACTGTACATTCCCCCTCTCAAGACTCTTGGCTCAAATCCGAAGTGGTGATGTTTTTTTTTTGTGCGTGTTCTGTGTGAGTTTGTTTAACAATTGACCATCAAGAGTCTTTTGGATTTGAGCTCATAGTTCTGAGAGGGGGCACACTTAGACCTGGTCTTCACAACCTGGTCTTCACACCAGATTTTTGTCTAGTCATGTCCAGCCGAACTAGGTCAGCTAGGTGTGCATCATGAGCATTTCAGAAGAGATTCCACATTCTGTACCCAAACTGTCCAGTACACGACCCTACAAGTGAAATCTAGGTCACTTTTGCCATGGATTGCTTGGGGGTACATACACAATGTCTCTTTCCTACTGCCCCACTCACTCAGGAACACTGGATTCATTGGGCTGTGCGGCGTTAGCGTCTCAACAAGAACCTCCTCAAGTCGTCAAGCAGGAGCAGAGAAACAAAATGATGAAAAACAAGCTCTTTAGCACCCACAGGGGTCATGTCCCAACGCACCTGTAAAGAACCAACCAGACCAACCAGTGCCAACCAACCCCAGACCGACCAACCAGACCAACCAGTGCCGACCAATCAACCTGACCCCATCTTCGGCAAAGCACCTGACCTGTTCCTTGCCCAGTCGCGATTTCTTCTGCGCCTGCTCTCTCGCCCTCCGGAGCTCCCGCTCCTGGCGTGGAGACGGCATGCCGCGACTTCTGGGAGAAACTAAGGACCTCAACATTGAGAATGCTGGGAAACATACCTTGAAATTTAATACTTTACATCTTATCGTCCTATATGGTACCAGTCTGCAGTACACCTAACCGCTATCCAACCGCTCAGTTGGCGCCGCGGTTCGCATCTCGTCTGCCGCCGCACCGACACGCCACGCGGTTGGCACGTCTGTCTGACGACGCACGGGTGACGGTTTTCGCCCAACCTCCTCTTCCTCCTTGCGTCGATACGCCTCGGGGGAGACCTGATTTCCAAGTCGATCGAGAGAGAGTTTTCACGTGTCTTGGTCGAACATGGTGTTCGTATGTGTTGTTCTTAAGGACATGTTGACCAACATCAATGACTGAAGCGTTCTTTCAGGTGCTGAAAAATCCCAGGAGATTTGTGTGAAAGCACGTTCTAATCCATCTGTATTCTTGATCTTGAAGCGCTGGAGAACATGGTACTTGGCGCAAAACAATCCCCTGGCACTTAGGAGTTTAACCAGAATTGCAAGTCACTCATGGAAGGATGATGATCTTGATGTGTCCTTGTTGGGAGAAAAAAACATGTCATCTGAGGGTGATTCCGAACGAAATGAGCATCCAAAAACTCAACTCTGAGGATGAGGCAAGGTCTGTGAGTTTGACCCCCCCCCAAGATGACAATTGTGCAAGAATAGATTTGGATCGGGATGTTCCATAAGAAAGCTGGTAAGTTCTAGGTGAACTATCTGGAAGTCTGGAAGGGTCGCAAGAACTTGAGCAGTTCCACGCTTTCTTTTTCGTACGTGTGCGACGTGGGATTCGCGGAATAGTGATAAAAGACTGAGAAAAAAAAAGCATTTTGACTGTGTGTCTCTCTATATAGCATTATGAAGTGTGTCCTTTAGAAGGAGGGACGACCTTCCACGCTCCCTTGTGAAGGCGGTTACGCACAGGCCACTGGCGGTGTTTTTGGACGGGGTCTTCACACTGTAGGGATCCTCATACGTTCTCAGAGGGTACGACTGGACCCTCCCAACCTACAAAAGAGTGTCTCCAATCATCTTCTGAGAAAGGTACTTGGATCCCTAGGGTATGGGATTGTTTTGTGCATCTGTTTCCCTATCTGCAGTCAAATGTGAATTCGTCAACAGGTCAGGTTGACCCTTCATGAAGGTACGGCTGGATCCCAGGGATACGAATACTTACACTCCGGAATATCATGGCACAATGGTCCCCTGAGGACTCGGAGCACGAAGGAGAGAACGATCCAGTCCACCGGTGGTGTTCACTCCGCTAAACTCGATTCCATTGAGTGATAGGGAGTGTCAACAGTCACTTATATGGTCCAATGGTGTGTTTATTTTAACAGGGAGGCCTCCAACCAATAGGTTATTGCATGGTTTTGGTCTATGTCCTTCTTCCCGGAGGCCTCCTGGGAGGTCTCCCTAGTTTAATGCAAAGCCACATGTCACTCCGCTACCCCACGTTGTTGCGGCTTCTGCCCAGCTGCGAAGGAGGGTCCGGTGCCGGTGCGCTTTGCCTTGGCGTTGAAGACCTTGGCACCTGGCGCCGGGACGACGTTCGACGGAGAAGCACCTCGCGCGGGGGAGAGGTGTCGGGGTCCGAGTCGAGGTCCTTTCATCTCCCGGCTTCTTTTTGAATAATGGGAGAATTGACCTCCGTGCAAGCGATGTTCTTTGCTATTGGTGAGGAGCTAACTCAAAGCAAAAAGAACTGGAAAGCATCTGTCCAAATCACACACTCATCCAGACCCAGCGCTCGCACTCAAAGACCCAGCTCTTTTCAATGAGATCTAAGTCTTAGTGACTCTTAGTATTACTCCCCCTCTCTCTCTCTCTCTGTCTGTCTGTCGCTGTCTTTCTCCAATGTCTTGATGGAAGGGGATGACATGGCACCAGAACTACATGGCATCCTTCTACAAAGACTTCGGGGTTGTCCACCAAACAAGAGTAGAAGTAGAACTAGAACAGTAGAACGTGGAACCTTGCAAAGCATGTATGACCTAGGGTTGGTCTAAATTCGCTCCCAACTGATAGTTAGGTTTGAAGGAACAACCCAAACAACAACATGCAATCAATCACAAGTAAAACACAAACCTGACAAGGGGGAAATGAAAGCCAGGAGCAACTACCTGCTACACCTGTAGAAGGACAATTGCTATGTGCCTTTCACCAAAAAGGCGTGAACAAGTAAGTCTGAGTAGAACCTCGGCCAAACATTCAATACACATAAACTAAACAGTGTCGTTGGAGCAGGTTGCTGATGCAAATGATGCACTAACCCATGGTGCTTGCATCTTCTGCATCACCAACCCGCCAAAGTCACCTCCTGTGCAAAGTAAAACACCAGCAGGCTAACATGGTTTACATACTCTATTCCGCACCTCTCTCCCGACCCCTCAAGACTCACTTTGTTCGCAAAAAAATAGCTTCAGCCTAGCCTATCAGCTAGCTTGCGTAATCAATCAATCAATCAGTCACTTATAATATCGCAATCCAAAGGAGTCCATGTTTTGACCGGTACTGACGGTCGATGCTCGTCCGGCCTGTCTGGGTTTGCTCGCCGTCCAGGCCTTTCGGCCGAGCACTCTTGAGGTTCCCACAGATGCTCTGGGCACGGTAGAAGAGGATGGGCGCGGCTGCAGGTGTCAGGAATGTGAAGGGAAGAGGTGGCAGGACACTTCCCGTGTCAGTCCGAGTCGGTCCTTTCGCTACATGGAGAGACTGGTCGGACTACAGAGTTCTTGAACGACCCATCTCCATTTGGGATGGATGATGGGGGGAGAAGCCAGGGTAGTTGGCGTTCCCCAAAAGGGTCCAAAAGGAGAGGCATTGGTGAAACATCTGTTGAGCTTTGGGATCTACCGGGGTTCTCCGGAATGATTTCGTCTCCAAGTTTCTCGGTTTGACAGCGGGTTTTCGGATGAATTCTTGTTGGACTAAAAACAACAATACGGCCGGCTCCAAACGGCTCTCATTAAGCTGATATACACTTATTGCCTTATTGCCTCTATTACTACACTACGGCAACACCTTAAATTCCGTCTGGTGTTTGTTCACTGAGGCCCTTGGCTGAATTAAAGTACAGTAAGTTACGCTGCAGTCTTTTGTTGACTAACCTCACATGTCTTGGACTAGGGAGTCACTACCACCACAGGCAAAAAAAAACGGTTCATCCAACATCGTGGGCGATTGAAGCCAACATCGTGGGAGCACCCAGCCCATCCCACCCCAAGCATCCCAAAACACTTCGTGCTTCTTTGTGCGTATCCGCCCGTGCACGGGCTCGCCAAAAAAAAGGAACATAGAAACACATGTTGAAACACGGGCTCGGATGCTTGGAAAATCGTTGGAATCGTCTGCCAAGCCATTCTGGGAGCCGTTCTTCGGACACCGTGCCACCGTGGCAGGTCCGGCCGTGATCGCCTGATGCTTCTCGATGCGCTCGTCGCTGAAGTAGCGCCCGCAGTAGACGCAGCGCATGCGTCCGTCCTCCAGGACCTCCGGTTCCTCGGTGCAGCAGACCGTCGGGCGCAGGCGGTCGTAGCCGGACGGTTGACGATATAGTCTTAAAGACGTTAAGCAAGAACTGGTTCATCTTGAGATATATTTCTGTATCTATAGTCCTAAACACGTGTTTGGTGTTCTTTGTTTCAGTATCTTCGAAAGAGAATGAGTGGTCTTGTCAATTCCAAGTAGCATTAATGATGTAAAATGAATGATTGATTCAACACATTGATGTTTCATGGATTTCATACCTTTCCACTAACCCTCCAACACTCTGTGGGAAAACACTGCCGTTCCTCGTGTGTGGGCTTTGCCAAATCCCATGCCCTTCTCCTTAACAGGATATCCGGTTGGACTCCGTTGCGTCCCAAGCTCCTTGAGGAAATTCCTCAATACCCTAAACTACCTGGTCTAAGAGTCCCTTTGAAGCAATGGACATGTTGCCACATCTCCACCTCCTCTCCTCTCTCTATCTCTCTCTCTCTCTCTCTCTACCGCCCAGTGTCATAGCTCCCAGCACCCGTGGGCGCCGGCCGCCCGCCGCCGCCGCCCCCGCGGGACGAGGCAGCGCCTGGTTCGCCAGAGGGGCGCCTGCCCAGCGCCCAACCGGCCGGGCGAGGCGAAAGGGCCACATGGGCTGTGCCATTCACCGGTGTCAAAGCAACTGATTTTCTTTGAGGATATCGTATATGGATATACTTGGGACATGAACATGTCACAAACATGTAAATTGGAAAAAAAGGGCCGTCGAAAAGAAACACCGTTCGAAAGCAGAATTGAGAGGTATTTTTACCGGTACCCACCGACCGGTTGGCGCTTCTGAGCCCGAAACCGCCAAGCGAACGTTGACCCAAATTGAGGGACTTGCTGTCCCGAAAGCCGATCAAACATTCATATTTACCAGGTTTGGGGATTTACCCCAAGGGAAACCATGAAATTACCTTAAGCAAACCAGGAAACGATTGATTCTGGCATACACTTGCATCTATTTTTCTGTAGCTCAAAGCTCGGGAGACCTCCCGAAAGGTCCGGAAAACAGAGCAACAATATACCCAGTGGGGCGATCGGGTGTCTCCTTATCAAGATACATACTAGTTACTATTGCCCACCAATCAATACTTTATGAGATGTTATGAGCTTTGACAGGACATATATATGATGATGCTTGGGTACATGTCCATTTGAGTCACCTACCGAGTCACTTGATTGATGAAAACCCGTCAATCCCCGTTTTTCGGTCGACCCTTTGCAGAGACTCGAGGTTCCGCCGCTCTTCTTTTTCCGGATCAAAGCAATCGAAAATGGCCTGCAAGTGCACTTGCATCACATTTGGGATCACCCCAGGTCACCAGAGATCCATCGTTCAAACCTGCCACAAAGGCTTTGTAGATCCCCTGGATCCAACGGACCTTCTTCAGCTGGTGTTTCACTGCACTGCTGTCACCTCCATCCTGTGGATCACCCCAAGTGACCACCGAACCGTCGCTCAACAGAGCCGCAAAGGCGCCAAACGACGCTTGGATCGCTTGGACATTCTGCAGCTGATCTTGGACACCTTGGAAGCAGCGGCTGCCAGGATCCAGGGGACAAAACATACAAAAACAATCCAACACATATTCCCCAGGCTTGATGATTTTCATGGATGTACTAATTACCCAGTTTGTTGGCAAATCAAGAAATCACCCGAAGCGCTGTTCTCCATGGCACTGCTACTGTCACCACCTTGCTGTGGACTTCCCCAGGTCACTACCGACCCATCTGCCCGAAGCGCCGCAAATGCCGCGCTGGCTGCACTGATTTCGACGACCCCACTCTTCAGTTGATGCTGGACTGCACTGCTGTCGCCCCCATAATCTTTGCCGCCCCAAGTGACCACGGATCCATTTTCCAAAATGGCTGCGAAGGCACACCATGAGGCTTGAAGATGCTGTACATTCTTGAGTTGATGCTGGACACGCCTGCTGTCACCACCACCCGGAGGGTAACCCCATGTAGCAACAGAGCCATCAGACAAGATTGCTGCGAAAGAATCTTGCCCATAGTGGGAGCAAATCTGTTTAGTTTGCCTCAGTTGATCCTGAACGCTCCTGCTGTCACCACCGCATTCACCATAACCCCATGTCACAACAGATTTGTCTTCCAAAAGGGCAGCGAAGGCGCTCGAAGAAGCATGGAGCTGCTGCACATGCTGAAGCTGGTCCTGGACCTTACTGCTATCAGCACCACACTCTGGAGCACCCCATGTCACAACTGACCCGTCGGCCAAAAGGGCGGCAAACGCACTACAAGAAGCACAGATCTGTCGCACATTCTTCAACTGATCTTTCACCATGCTGCTGTCACCACTTCTGGGATCGCCCCACGACACGACGGAGCCATCCGCTAAAATGGCTGCCTGGTGGGCTTGGTTTCATCTCTCGCATGAAACATATTAGGCAGTGATAGTAACTTATAGGTCAGTAGGTTCGATCATGCCAAGTAAAGGTTGAGAATAAACATATCTGAAACCACCACCAAGCCGCAAAGGATGAGAGGGATGCCACAATCTGCCGCACATCTTTCAACTCATCTCGGACCATCCTACTGTCAGCCCCGCATTGCGGCTCTCCCCAAGTCACGACCTGACCAGCACAGCACAGGGCAACGGCACCCGCCGATGCGACAATTTGTGGAGTGACAATGGTAGCCATCAAGGTATCGCCACTCGATAGGCCCAGCTCTGACAGATGCTGAGATACCTCCAATAGGCGTCCATTGAACCTGACAGCATCAGCTCCGTGATCGAGTCGTCCCGGTGGTGTCGGCAAACCGGACATGGAGACATGTGGGACTGGAATACTCCTCAGCGGCTCCTGGCCCATATCGTCAGAAGGTGGTTAGAACACCAACCACCTTCTCAGAAGGTAGCTGGAGCTCTAGGGACTTCTATATGCATACATTATTGGGCCGGGGGTGATTTTAAGGTGCTTTACGGGTCAATGCAGCTTAATTCTATGGATGGTCTGGGAGTGGGTGTCTGAAACCACCCGCAATAATTTAGAAATGCCAATGGAGACACTTTGGGTATGAAGAAACGACGTCCGATCCAAGCGACCAATTTCCACAACTGGGTGTGTGGCTTAATAGGGAGATCCTCAACCCTTCGGTTTCATCAGTTTCTATCTTCTTCCTGGGGGGTCTTTGGGGTGCCTCCCTATTTTAAATACACGTCCACGTATGGTGTAATAGCTACTGAGCTACTGATTTCCCCCATGATTTCCCACACCAAGCCACGTGAGTTGTAAGAACTGCACTCCAAAGGCTTCCTGTGCAGCAGTTTTGAGGTCCAGGACCCGCGTCGACGAATCTGTGGAGATGCTGGTGGAGTGGCCACTGGGCAAAGACACGTGAACGTGAAGCGTGTCACCTCCGTCACCTGCAGGACAAACAACCTGCAACGTCAACGTGCGACGCGGTTTCCAATTTTTGAGTTTACCCAAACAGGGATCGTGTTTTTATATAAACGTCCTTCAAATGTTGCTTTCAGGAGTGAAATTTTTGGCGACATGTCCGACATGCTGTTGGTAAATATAGCGAAATGCTGTAGGCTATCAATCAAGTCACGTTCGCTGCCATGTTCGCGTCCTCAATCACAAATCCATGATGACACGAATCCATGCGTATGAACGCGCAAGCCGGCGCGTTCAGCGGAAGCCGGCTTCTCTTTTCCTGTTGGATTCACGGTCTAAACCGGTCTAGACTGTAAGAGCCAAATGTCGTCATAACAAAGCTAACCAACCATGTGCATATAACTAATGATTCATTCTTGTCCAGCTCTATCCAGTTTGCTAGTGGAGGTCCATGTGATTAGAGGAGGTCCATGTGACGAAAGCTGAAGAAGGACGAAGCCACGCATGTGATAAGTGAACATCTTTTCAGATGTCGACCGTTTGGCTCATGTGGATCACAGGGGGTGCACCGCCCGTCCGAAGGGGGGGGGGTGCACCTCCCGTCCCGTCCAGGATGCAGTGGTTCTGAACGATGCTTTGAACCCGTGCTGTCCTCAGAAGATGTGTGCTTGTTAATCCAGGCATCTTGCCCTTAAGCCAAAGAGCTGCTGGCTCTCTTGAAGCTGAAACATGCAACTGAAGACTACAGAAGATAGGCCTGGTGCCTGGTAATGTAGCCTGTTGATTGATAACCCCCGATATGGAGATGCTTTGCAATCCATATGCGGGGGGTTACTAATCACCAGTCTACATTATGCAAACTTCATCAAACTTCAACTTATACAGGACCTTCCAACAGGTGGTTTTTGGGCACCCCTTGACCTCTAAGAGGCTGTTTATAGGCACCTCTTGGTGTCGGTCCAGGTATATCATGTTTCTTGCTTGAACAGCCCAGTCGCCTTTTCAGGCGACCGGACCAGTCTGCCAGTGGATCGCTCATATCAAACCATCAGTGGCCCGGTCAGATCTCGGATCTGTCGCACGTCGAGCCAACCACTTCGTCACTTGGACGTCAGATGGTCATCCGATCGTCCTCACGAGGTCGGATGACCATCGGAGTGCGCGCCATCGGTCGCGGGTCGCCATGGGGTTCCACAGGCCGCAAGGATGGATGAGCCGAGCCTGACTGTGTTCCCTTGGTCGAGGTTGGAGTTTGCCCTGGTTTCAACCGCAGTCCGCAGTTCTGTGAGTTGTTGGGCACTGGAACCGGTCTTGACCCCACATGCAGGATTGTGCAGGTGTGGAATGCGTGTGGAGTTGAGTCCCTCTTGGGAAGAGCGGTTCTTCAGTCACAGTCTGAACTTCCGAGCGAACATGGATCCTCCACGCCAATCTGAGGTGCAGATCTTCCACTTCTGAGGGTCAGAGTCAGGAAGATCATCATCAATTCCTTTTGCAGATCTGGCACAACGAAACCATGGAGAGGTATTTGGTCACCATCCACGTCAGGCGCGTCAGGTCGAATCCTCTACACTCGAGCCCTTCGGATACCACGCGCACAACAAAAAATAAGCGCCACAGCACCTCCGGCCTGGCGCCTCCTCCACCACCGCCACCGCCACCGTCACCTCCCGGACCTATGACTCACCACGTGGAGGAGACGGGAGACCCAAACCATCGGACGAGCGGTCTAAGGGGTGGTGCCTTATATAGATACCTAGAACTTGAATGACCTCTATTTTGGACCACTAACCATCTGCATGGTCTTTTCTGATCAAAAACAGGGGTCCTGGTTGGGTTCTAGGTATATAGAGAATCATGTGGGTAAGTCTTCCAGTCGAATGGATTACTGGGTGGTGCATCAAATGTAATTAATATATATATATATGTAGCAGTGGGAAGAATGTTAAAAGTTAAAACTTTACAGCTCAATGTTCCTATCCAGCGGGGGTCATGTTCTGGAGAGATTCTAAAACTGTGTTTCCCATGTGCAGCCAACAGGGCATGTGGCCAACACAGGGCCAGCTGACGATCTGCTGACCTTGAAAATCCTCCAAATGGGAGACGGTAGGAGCCAGTGAGAAAGATACAGGTATCTGGTTCTACCTGCTGTGGATAGGGAACCTGGGGTTTCCAAGACCTCCTGCATCTGTATAAAACAACTGTCTTCTACCTGGAATCGCTCTTCCACCATCGCGCACGGGTTGACCCTCTTTCAGCCAAGTGGCGCTTGCATTTGGGGCAGTTCCTCAGTGAAAACGTGTGGAAAACGAGCTTTCACCAGCTGTTGGCATGGCTTTTTGCATGAGTTTGCCAGGTCAAAAAAGAAGCTGTAGGCCTCTTTATCAGCCTGCACACTCCTTCCTTTCGCCCCCCAAAATAGATCAACCTGCTCAATGACGAGGCCTTCCTTTCTGTTCCTCACTGGAAGAGACTGTCCGGTGTGAAGGATCTCGGTGTGAAGGACCCACGGAGGCCACTTCGGGGTAAGAGAGTCTTTGGATAGTCTTTGGACCGTGTATATGGCCCAACTTGAACGGAGTCACATGGGTTCTCTGCGCGGAACTCACCAAGTCTGTCCCCAAAAAATGCTCTCTCTCTCTCTCTCTCGCTCGCTCTCGCTTTGGGCCCCACCCCGACACACCGCGAGCGACGAACGATAAGCGCGTCTAAGGGACGCAATGTGCTCCTTGAGCATCAACTGCGAGACTTCGATCTGACAGTAGGGGCAATTCACGATCCTGCCCACGCCGATAGGATCGAAGGACTCCAAAGGGATGGGTTGAGAAAGGGCTAATTCATGCAGAGTATACCTACCCCACGGCATCCAGTTGCCACTATAGCTGGTAACCAGTGGTTTCAAATACTAACACCATAGACCTAGAATTCCTAGCTCCTCATACAGTGGTACCTGGGATGCACTGGGTACTTCTTCCCTTTGAGAAAGAATCCGGCTGAAATCACCCGAAATCACCCAATGATGTGTGTTTCTTCCACCATTTTGCAGGATCGAGTTTTCATCGGCACACGCGTCTTCGACATGGTCCACGAGACATGGTCCACGCGCGGAGCCGTCTGGACCGGAGCGGAGCCTTAGCGGACTGGTGAGGTCCAGGTCGTCATCACTCTCCCAATGGTCGTCATTCTCGGTGTTTCTGGGGAAAACCATCACTGATCGGTGTCAACTCACTTGATAAAGACATTGGTGAAATGATGAGTTGGATCAAGCATCTAGTACCACTACCTACAGGTTGAACCAAAAAAAACTATCTGCAGAAAACCACGACCCTCTTCCCATGTTTAGATTTAGATCTTTGTTTGGCTCCTGGTCGCCCTCTTCTTCTCACATTGCTTCACATGGAATTTCAAGGACGCCTGGCATGGCGCATGGCATCGCGAGTGGTCTAGGACGCAGACCAACACACCCCAAAAGACCACAGTCAAGTCATCGCGGTACGCATTGTGTGACCACATCATGTGACATGCTAAAGGCGTCTAAAGGCATGAAACATGATGAGCCTGGTGAAACTGCTGTTATCCAGCCTTGAACCATCCATAGTGGTAGTCATGGAGAGGATAGAAACATTCATGGCATCCATGTGGAAAATATCTCCAGTGCTCCAAAGATCCATTGGAGAAGGTATTCGGCTGACTGAAGGAACAGGGTACATTCGAGACGCGTCGCAGATTGATTGAAGCACATCCCAAACAAGTTCGGAGCGATTCTTCAGTCGCTGGGTTTGCTGAGGTCGTATCTGACGTAGGCTGTCAGACTGCAGTCTGAGTCCTGTATACGTTCACATTCACATGGGCAAAAAAAGGCATGTCACAGGACTAAAGCCACTTTGGATGCAATTCCATCATGTCACAAGGGAAGAAGCAACTATACTTGTGGAAGACCACCCTGCAAGGGATCTCTCTTCGGCAATTCTTGTTCAGTGCCTGCTAATTAGTCATGATCTGGAATGTGGAAGGGGGCAATCATGAAGAGAACGACTGACTCAATCCAAGGGAATCTACCCCAGTTCGGGAAAATGCCAAATGAAACCAAACAAAATCACCTGATCCGCCGCCCTTCACCAGGCCCTCCAATCCTTCTTCCCGCCCCGGTGCTCCCGTTGCCCCCTCCCTCTCCCGCTGCTCCCCCGCCGGGAAGAACTTCTCGTTACACAGCGGGCATGGCACCGCCCGATCGGCAGGGCCGGGCATGGTGTCACGATGGCGCTGGCGCTGCACTGCGTTGAGCAAACCCCTCTGAGTCTCAGGGATTTGGGTGTCCGAACCACCCCACAAAAGAAACCTAGAACACATATACTCGGAGCTCCCTTTCAACGCTTTGAATCACTCGAGAACACGATCTGATGCTTGATAATTGCCACTAAAGCGATGCTGGCTATAGAGCTCTTCGAAGAAGTGGACGTAGTGTCAAGCTTGGACATGGCTCGGGTAGAGATGTTGTCTGTACAAGCTTGTTTAGGAGGTGACTAGGCTTGATTCAGTGTATGCAGTGTATGCAAGTTTGAGTTGGATGGTTACATACCATGGTCGCTCGGATGATGGTCCGTGTTTCTGGACTTCTGGATTTGGATCAGTGGCAACTAGGACACAACTGAGCCTACGGACGACGTGCACTGGCTTAGCGGCAGCATCAAGTGTCTTTCTTCCCTGAAGATGTGTGAACCATGTTCAACGTACACAAAGCCTCTGCTTGAAACTTGGGATATTTTGGGAACCAGCTTCCCTTTGGGATAGTCAAGCAAATAGAATACGTAACTTTCCGACGCTTCACGGGTCAATTGTCGTTTGTGAACAATCATCAATGCTATCATATGCTAGCCAAGAATTATAAACATACATTAAAAAAAAAGATGGTGTGCCCAGGTTGTCCTCAGTTGCAATGAACAACATCAAACTTAGCACACTTAAGTCACTTGGAGGATTCTTACTTAACGTTCTTGGGTGATCACGTTTTAAAACACCTCAGAGCTGAATCTGTTGTGGCCTCCTTGTCTGACCAGCCGTCAGCTGTGTCCCTTCATGTCCGTATGTTCCTCCCATTCCTCGGTTGATGAGAGAAATCGGCCAAGAGTCACCTCCTCCCCATCACCCCACGTCACCTCCTCCCTGTCAAACCCTGATGGGTCAGTCCGTCATCACCCAAAAGCATCCACCGATCAACCAGCTGGTCGGTCTGTCGATGTGATTCAACCGAGTTTGGGAACGAAGGATTGAGAAAATGGAAAACGAAGGGGTTGGTACCAGGCACCCCCATTGGTTTGTACACGACCAGGGGATACGACCGCAAACATCCATTCATCGACCAACCAAGGCAATCATCCCCGGACACTCGATGTAATTATGGAACATATGCCTACATTGACCCCTGAAACCACCCCAGTGTAGGCCAATGTTCCAGTCCCATGGAGTGTTTGGGATCCAGTCCCTCCTTTCCTCTTTTTTTTTACGAGTCCTTTCACGCGTCCGTCCATGCTGCCGTTGGACGATCTGCACGCTTGATGGTGCCCACATGGGTGGCGAACGCCGATCCCCTTTGGGGAGTCCCAGTGGTGGAGGCAAGGAGCAAGGATCAACCATGTTACCTGGATGTGCTTGACCAAGCCTTGGAAACCAGTAGATACTAACAAAACCACTCTCAGAAGATGCTCTTCTCCACCCCTTGTGACTTGTGGCAGTTTTGATGGTGCAGTTTAAGATAGCTGTTATAACCTATTATAAAGCCATGAAAAGCAGTCACAGGGCCATCAGACCAGGCTCTTGGCCCCTTCATGCAAGGGGTACTGTATGTGTGAGTCGGAGTAACCAGCTGGCCAAAACAAACCATCTAAGCCGTGTCGTGCTGGCCAGGAGAGGTGTTGTTTTTCATGCCCTATCATGCCGTGAATGCTTGGCATCACGTTTCTTCGACTCCTACGACTCAAACTCCTCATGTGCTCAACAAGTTTCAACCATCTCTGCTCAATGAGCTGCAGGATGATGTGTTCTTTCAACATGTTCGGAAAGAAAAAGACAACTCCACAGACTGCAGGAGAAGCGTGGCCGAAAACGGCCCTGCCGAAGCCTTGCCCTGCCGAAATGGGCCGACCAATAGGTGGGGCGGCTCTATGACGGGAGGTTTGGATCTGGTGTCACTTGAACCTCCATCCAGCTTGGAGTGCTTCAAAGCTTCAGTGGAAAGGCTGCTTGAAATTCAGAGTTGAGGGGACGATGGGAACACCTCTTTGACATGTCTGAAGTCTGAAGGCATGGGGACTGAACCAAAGAGAAGAGTGTTGCTTCGTCCAGAACGAATTCTTTTCTTCGCAACCTCCCAGGGTGGGGGCGCTCGGGTCCGGTCGTGAGTTTTTTTGTGGAGTACTCCCTGCAGAGGACCACATGGAACCCCCAAACTACTGGGTGGTAGAGGAAAATTCGGCGAAACCACGGGTCAATTCTCAGGTTCTATGGGATCGTTTGTGGAACCATGTCGAACATGGTTCTATGTACAAACCAACCACGGTTCTATGTACCACGGGTCAATGTTTGTGGAGTACCAACATATTTACAGGTTGGGAGTATCTGCATGTCGATCCGTCGGTTGAGTTGGACCAATCGGAGCATGTCGATCCCCACTGCCACCGACCATTTCAGGCACCGACAGACCCCTCTCAACATGGATGACCAACGATGTTGGTGGGAGATCGTGGTCTGCAAACTCATGCAAACTCTATATAAAGTGCCAAAAAACGATACCAAATGCATCAATATGCCTTCGGGATTCGGAGGTTGTTTCGGGATGTGAAGTTTCGGTGGTGAAGTCAGAGCCGCCTCTACTGAAAAAGGGGCTCTTGGATCTGCATAGGGTGGCAAATGGTTTAAAGAATATGAGCATGTACCTACCAGTGGACCTACCAGCACCTTCTGTCGCTTTCTTCGCCAATAGAGGTAGCTTCACTGCTTAGCTTCCATTGGACATGTCTCTTGAACAGGTGTTCTGGTCACGTCAAGTATCACCGCAGCCCTGAGGCCTCCAAGGCGGGGGATTGAATTTGGGACCGCTGTCCGCTGCAAACGCCGACAGGTTCGGCGCACCGCTTTCTTCTTGCGCACCAAGCGCGACAGTTAGGACAATATGGAATAGCCTTTGAGGTCCAGAGTTGAATAGTCCGAGACACTTCCAGTTTACAAATTGATCTATATGACGATATATGTATAATTCTCGCAATGACAGAAAACATCACCCGCTTTCATCTCCTTTCCATGTATGAGGTTGCATTTTTTACTCACTTTTGAAGTATCGGACTTTGCCTTACCTCCACCATGAACGGTCTAATTTTGACTCTGTTGCATGTTCGTACATCAGTCAAGCCTGGGCAAACAAAGGGCAAACTCGCTGGTTGGATGATGAGCTCCACATCTTGGTCAATCCAGGCTTGAAAACCGGCTGGGTCTAGATTCCTTACAATTTCCACTTGGTTCTTCGCTAGCTTGAGGTCTGGTCCAAGAACCAGCGCAAAAACTACGTGACAAAAAAACGCATATGCAAGTACATATGTCTGAGTGATTTAAATTAGTTTCATTAATTTCGTTCACCTCGTACCTCGTCTTAATTTCATGCTTTGAAATTATTCACCTCGCCTCGTTTAATTTCAATAGTTTCATTCACCTCGTCTGCATTTGTTGGGGGGGGGTCCTGCACATCCAAACTGGTAATCGGGCCTATTTCTTGACAATACGTTGTTTTTTGTCTTTGGGATTCTTTGTTTTTAATCGGGCCTATTTCTTAAAAATATGTTGTTTTTTTGTTTTTGGTCTTCTTGGGGCTTCTGTGTGGCGTGGT